GACCCTCAGGGTCCCTTCCAGCAGTTCTATGATCCTATGCAATCCCAGCCTGCAGGATGCTCCCTCTCATCACACGGAGTTGTGAGCATGCATCACCAGCTCACCACCACACAGAGCTGGTGGTCTTCTCTGTGGACCCCACTCTGCCTCTCCATCTCTTTATCTGTGGAGAAGCATCCCTGCTCAACGCGTTGAGTCATGCTGCACACAGCAGGAGCCGCTCACCATGGAGAGGCAGACGGCTGCCACAGCAGGCAGCAGGAACACAGGAAACTGCCTTGGTGCATCTGACTCAGTATTGCCAACACTGGCTGGCAGCAAGAGCTTTCCAGGGTTTCAGGCAGGGGGGCGTTTCCTGTCATACCAGGGACCTTCTGCATGCAGAGCAGGTGTTCTGTGGGGGTGGGGCTGTATCCCCCAAACAGCAAAGCAGCCTCCAGAGACTGTCTCCTTGAGGCTCACAATGACTCCTCTTCTGCAAGTTACAGGCAGAGTGAGGGATGGAGAGCCCATAGATTCCTGGCAAAATTCACCCTGGTCTATGGAGTGGAGCCTGTCTGGTCCTCCTGCTCTGCAATGCAATGTCAGGCATCCTGGGTGGATGTGGATTATGTGGTCCCTTGGAATCAGCCCTGGCCCAGGTCCAAACTCACTCCTTGGGGTGAGGCACCTGCTTTCCAGGAGGAAGGTCCCAGGTGCCAGGCTCTGGGAGGAGAAGAGGGCACTGGACTAGACAGGCCCCCCTTGGGCCTGATCCAGAAGGCTCTTCCAGTGTCTTTATGGAAACTGCGGGTGGGGAGAGGGCGCTCTTGTGCTTGAGTCCTGCTCGGGGGATCCCCCTGGGGGGGGGATGCAGGGCGACATGGGTCCTTGGCCTGATCCAGCGGGATCTTGTGCTTATGCGTTTACCCAAGGGATGAAAGAGGAAGCTGGGCAATTGGGGCCAATAAAAAGAGCAGCTCAGTCCTGGAGTTTTGACTCAACCCATGCTGAGGCTCCAAGACTTTGGCCACCTCATGAGAAGAGAAGCCTCCCTGGAAAAGACCCTGACGTTGGGAAAGATGGAGGGCACAAGGAGAAGGGGATGAGAGAGGACGAGATGGTTGGATAGCGTTCTCGAAGCTACCAGCATGAGTCTGACCAAATTGCAGGAGGCAGTGGAAGACAGGAGGGCCTGGCGTGCTCTCGTCCAGGGGGGCACGAAGAGTCGGACATGACTAAATGACTAAACAACAACAAATGATGTGGAAAGTCCCGCTGTGTATTATTTCACATCCCTCTCTTTTGTTTCCCCAGTAACTTGCATGTCGCTTCCTCCAAATTGAAAAGGCCCAAACATTTCCATCTTCCTCACCTTTGGCCATTGCAAGGATAGGGTGCTGGACTAGGTGGGCTCCTAAGGGCTGACCCAGTTGCCTGTTGGTCTCATGCTCTGACGGGGGAAGCCCCCCCCCCCCCCGCATTCTGATCCTGAGGCCACTCGCGTTTTTCACTTCTGCCATCCCTTCCTCAGGCCAGGGAGCCAGAGAGCAGCACACGCCATTCCAAGTGGAGTCACACCATGGATGCACATCAGGGCGTTACGGCACCGAAAGGTTTTCCTTGCAGCCCCCTCCCCTGACAACCCCCAACACAGAACCTGCCTTTCTGCAGCTGCCACACCCCACATGGGGGAATACTTTCATTGAGCTGCCCACTGTGACCCCCAAATCCATTTCCCCGTTAGTCACTGCTGGCTCTTTTCTCTATATCAGCGTGTATGTGAAGTCGGGGTCATCCTTTCACAAAAGGTCTGGCCAGGAGAATCTGTCTATCAGTTGCTCTTCATCTAGTGGTGCCTCCAGGCACAAGGGATGCAGTGAATGAAAATGCGGCAGTTCTACGGCTCAGGCCGTTTCAGTATTTATTTGTTGACACTTTTATGATTTTTCATACATTTGGGGTCCATCTGGATGTTCTGGGCTACCATTTCATCTTCAAATATCTCCAGGGCTGTCACATGGAAGATGGAGCAAGATTGCTTACTCCTGCTCCTGAGGGGAGGATCTGAACCAATGAATTTGAATGACAAGGAAGGAGATTCCAGCTAAACGTCAGGAAGAACTTTTTGATGCTACGAGCTGTTTGACAGTGGAACCGTCTCCCTTGGAAGATGGTGGACTCTCCTTCCTTGGAGGTTTCTCAGCAGAGGTTGGATGGTCATCTGTCAGGGGCCATTTTGCTATGATTCCCTCATTACATAAGGTTGGACTAGATGACCCCTGGGGTGCCTTTAAACTATACAATTCTATGATTTCACAGCAGCTAAATTTCACTAAGAGGCTCAGGAGCCTGGTGGGCTCCTTGTGGACTGCAGAACCTTCTTTTACATCTTGAGTTGAAGAATAAATTTGGGTCTTGGCACAGGGTGTCTGGCTTCCCTTCAGCTCAGAATACAGACAAGCATTAAGAGTTGGACAGAGGCCGATTCCAAGCCAAATAATTAAAAACTCGCTATTCCCAACTAATTAAGAAGCCGGCATCTCTCTGCATGGAAGAGGAGAACTTATATTGTAACTGCTCGAACAGGGAGTTTGGAGATTCAGTGGAGAGAGTGTTGGATTAGGACCTGGGAGATCAGGGAGATCAAGGTGGCACACATGGTTCTTCCCCTCCTCATTTGATCCCCCCAACAACCTACAAGGTAGGTTAGGCTGAGCTTCATGGCTGACGGGGTGGGTGGAGATTCAAACGATGGTATCTCAGGTCCTAGATGAACACTCTAACCTGGGCATGGCCAAACTTGGCCCTCCAGATGTTTTGGGACTACAACTCCCATCATCCCTAGCTAACAGGGCCAGTGGTCAGGGATGATGGGAATTGTAATCCCAAAACATCTGGAGCACCAAGTTTGGCCATGCCTGCTCTAACCACTACACCACACTGGCTCCCCCACTGGTCCACAGGGAGTCCTGCCTGGCCTACTGCATTAGGATCTGCTGTTGCCAATAGGTCCCCTCCATTTCTCAGAGAAGGAGGTCACCCACTTTCCGGCTCTTATTCCAGGATCTCCCACTTACTCAGGGAGCAGAGGGTGAGTCACCCAGGTGAGTCACCTGCTTGCAAGGTGCATGTAGCTCCTCAGTGTCCCTCGGGTGCTTTTGAGTGTTCATAGTGCTTCATATCAATTGGAACAACCTTGTAAGTAGGTCAGAGGAGGCCAGGTCTAAGAGACTTGAGGCCTCTTGGCAGAGGCAAGTTTCAAGCCAGCCATTTCCTGCCTCAAGAGGTATTCACACACACACCCCTTGGAAGGCGACCCCCTTCAGCCCTGGAGAGGCTCCAGCAGAACTCCAGGATGAGCTCCTCCACACCTCAGGACTTTCTACCTTACCCTGCCAAGGAGGACTTGACTGTGTGCAGGGAGCTGCCTTCTCCTCTCCAGGCTGCTCCACAGTACCATCATCAGCGACAGCAGACCATCTCAGGGGGATGTGGGGAAGTGGAAGGATCTTCCTGGACCTCAGGCCACCATTTGCTGCCCTGTTTGGGGGGTCACCCTTGACCTGGGTGTCCTGGCCTTCAATGCAAGCCCTGCCCTGAGCTGTCAAATGAGGGGACAACACTGCAGGGAGAGTGGCTGGCCTAGTGGTTTCAGCCAGCATGTTCCTTGGAGAGAGAGCAGGCAGCTGCCTCAGGCCAGCCAAGCAGGCAGGGTGAGGGCTGCGCAGAGGCTCTGGAGCTCAGCCTGAGAGACGCTCAGTTATTGCACAGAATCATTATCACAGAATTGCAGAGGTGGAAGGGACACCCAAAAGGTCCTCTAGTCCAACCCCCTTCAATGCAGGGCCATCATCCCCACCAGTGACTTCCAAAGGATTGTGCTCTGCAAGAACTTCCAAGCCCCCTCAGTACTCCTACAACCCCTGCAAGGTAGGCCCATGAACTTTATTATCATTATCATTATTTATTAAACCTGTATGCCACCCTTCATCTGAAGATCACAGGGTGGTTTGCAACTTAGAAATACAAAATGAGAACAAAACACGCATCATAAAAACAAGAACAAATCAATATCCCCCACTCCCACAAACACATTTAAATGGATGTCGCCGCTGTCACCTAAAAGTCCGGCCTGCTGCCCGCTTTCCCTCCACGCAGGCAGATCGCCTCGGCCCCGTTGCCCGGTGAAAGCGAAGTAGCACCCCTCCGCCACCTCCGCCACGGAGCGGAGCTCCCGTCCAGCCTCCCCGCCGTCGGAAGAAGCGCCCGCGCCGCGCCCTGGAGAGAGGAGCGCGTCCCTTCTCGGCTCAGCTAGCTGCCCTCGGGCCCGCTCCGGAGAGCAGCAGCACGTCGCAGAACCGCTGGCCCTCGTGCTGTTGGCCCTGCGCCCCCGCCCCGCGCCGGGCACCCCACAAACTCCATCCTCTTCCGACGGGGCGTCCGGCCGGCGTTCCAGTCGTCGCTTGGAAGCGCGGCGCCGCGGACCTTCTCCCGCGCCCCGGCAGCTCCGCCGTCGCCGTCCTTGCCATCCGAGAGGGAGCAGCCCCCGACGGAGCCGAGAGCCCGCGCCCCGTCTCTTTGTTGGTGGAGGCGGGGAGGAGAAAAGAAGCGGTGGTCGCGGCAGAACAGGCGGGCACTGCCCGGAGGAAGAGAGCGGGGGTGGGGGGCGCAGGCAGGGCAGCCCCCTCCCCGACGGCCTCGGCGGTGCGTCCCGGCTCAGCCCCGGCCGCCGCCGAGTGGAGGGGCGTCTGGGCGGCGGGCGCCTTTATTGGAGGCCGGGCTAGGCGGGCGCCGCCTCGCAGCTCCTGCGCCGGCGCCGCCCCCTCCCCGCCCGCCCGCTTGCCCGCCCCTCCGCGCCGCCGGACGCTTCCCGTCTCCGCCACTCGGGCGCGCTTCGGACTGCGGAGGAGACGCCGCCGCCGCCGCCGCCACAAGGCTTCATGCGGCAGCGAGGCGAGCGGGGTTCGGCCGGGCGGCAGCCGCCTCGTTCCGGGGCTTCTGGTGGTGCGGCGCCGGGGATGGAGCTGGCCGCGGCGGGCGGCGGCGGCGGCGAAGGAGAGGCTCGGTTCGGCGCGCTCGGAGGAGCCCAGGCGGGCGGCGCTCGGCTGCCACTGTCCCCGCGGCGCCGCCACTGAACGGCGCCCGGCCGAGGCTCCGGCGCGCCCGCTCCTCTCGCTCGCGCTCTTTCCTTCGTGCCTGGCGGCGGCGGCGGCTACAACGGCGGCGGGGATGTGATCGGCGGCCGGGGCGGCGGCGGCGGCGGCGCTGGGGCGGAGGGGCCCGGGGCCAGCGAGGGCGCGGCGCGCCCGGAGGGATCTTTGCGCATCGCGGGAGCGGCGGGCGAGGCGGCGCGCAGGGCGTCGGGGCCGGGCAAGGTCACCCCGGGCCGGTGGAGTCGCTTCCCGCCGCCCGCGCGCTTCCCATGGGGCGAGCTCGGCGGCTGAGCGCGCCCGCCGAGCCGGGCGCTCCGGCCCCGCGCGCCGCCGCGCGTGCGCCGCCGCCGCCGCCCGGGGCCGCCGCCGCCTCTCGCCTCTAGGATGCGGCGCCTGCCGCGGCGCCTGGTGAGCGGCGCACCGGAGCAGGGAGCGGGCGGACGACGACGAGGAAGGCGGCCAGCAGCAGCAGCAGCAGGAGGAGGAAGGCGGCCGCCGGAGACGGAGCGCCCCGGGCGGCCGGTCGGATTCCCCGGGAGGCAGCAGGTAAGCGCCTCGGCTCGCGCTCTCTGCATTGCAGCCCCCGCGCGGGGAGGGGGGGGAAGGGGGTTGGGAGACGAGGGGAGGGGGCGAGCCACCTCTTCCCAATGGGGGGCCTCTTTCCTCGCGCCCTCCCCGTCGGAGGGAGGGGGAAGGGAGGGGAGGGTCCCGCTGGGCACGGCCAGGTGTGGCTGCTGCGCCCTTCTCCCGGTTTTCCTGAGCGACGCGGGGGTGAGCGTTGCCCCTCCTTATTTCTTCCCCCTTCTATAACAGAAGGACGCCCCCGCCCTCCCCGTCCTGTTCAGGGAGAGAATGGAGGTTCCTGCAAAGCACTCCCTCCCCCCACCTGCCAAATCCTCCCCCGTTTTCGGGGCTCCGGAACTCGCTTCTCCGCTTGCCTGCCGCTGCGGCTCTGGCAGGTTGGGGGAGCTCCAGGGTCGGTTTTGGAGGGTCTGGATGCGGGAGCGGGGCCCCCCCGCACCGGGGGGAAGGAGTCAGCCGACAGCCCCCGGTTCCCCGCACGTAGAACCAAGGGCCTGGCGCCGAGTGGGTGGGTGGGATTTCTCCGGGGTGGGGGGAGCACCGTTCGTGCCGCCGAATCTAGGCTCCCCCCCAAAAAACCTGGACCCCTCGGGGGACTTGCTCCGCTTCTTGCCTGCGTAGATTTTTCCTCCGCAGCAGCTGGGGGGGGGGGTGTCCCTGCCGGTTTCTAGGCGAGAGGGTCTTTGGGCTGCCCCTCCCCCAGCGCTTTGGATCTCCCCGCTCCTGCCCCCCTCCTCCTGCTGCTCTCCGAAGGTGTGGGGCGCCTCCTGGAAAGGCGTGCTGCTGGAGCCCCGAAGTGGGAGGGGGGCGGGGAGAATGGCAGGGTTTTTTTTGGGGGGGGAGGAAGAGGATGTGGACAGAGCCCAGGTATTGGTGGGGTCTGTATTCCTCCCCCCCCCAGGTCGATGGGCATGGAAATGCCAGGCTCCCTGGAGGAGGGGGGGAGGGGGCGCGTCTCTGAGGAAAGAGGTTTCCAGCTGTTAAGTTGCCCTCCTGTTTTTTTGGTTGGAGACCTAAACTGCTGCTGCAACTTGTCTCCCTTTTGGAGGTGGGGGTGGAGAGGAGCGTCTTTCTGTAAGGCCCTTGTGAATTGTGCTTGTAGGGCCCCGGTCTCTTCCTCCTGGCTGCTGGTGTGGGGCTTTCAGGGGAATGGGGCACCCTTAATAGTGAGCTGGTGGGAACTCCCTTCTCCCTCCAGGCCCTGAGAGCAGGTCCGAGGTCTTTGCAGAGCTCTGGAGCAAGTTGGGGGGCTGGAGAGCAAGGAGGCCCCCCAAGTGGGGGAAGGGTACTTAGTATCTCTGGACATTGTTTTAGCCTCATGTCCAGCCGGTTTCTTCCTGGCCTGGGGATGTGTGCTTGGCCAGAGGAGGCTCCTGGCCCCCCACCCCAGGCATGTCCCAGTTGAGACTCTTCTCTGAGCCATGGAGCTCATCCTGCCCACACTCAGACCCAGTTCGACTTTCTCTTTGCCCCTTTTATTTGCACCAGAGGACAGATGCACAGATTGGTGGAGGGGGACGTTCTCAGGGGGAAGTCCAGAGCTCAAGGGACGAGCGCCTACCTTTCCCGAAAAAGGTTCCAAGTAGGGGCTGAGGGAGACCCTGGACCCCTGGAGAGTCTGCTGCCAGGCAGTGTAGATGCTACAGAGCTCCATGGCCTGTTGGCCTGGATCCCACATAAGCAACTCCCCGAGTAGCGACTGGTTGGAAGGTGGAAGACAGGCCAGTCCTCTGTCCAAATGTCACCTTGGCTGTATGAGGTGGCCTTAGGAAGCCCGTATTTCCTTGGCCCCCAGCTGTGATATGGATAGGAAAGGTGGCCCCTTACAGGTCTGTTGCAAGGATTGCTCTGATAATGCATGAGGATGGCTGCTTCATTTTAGGGCCTAAGGCATGAAGGCTTTGCTACTTGCCATTGTAGCAGTGTATTGGAAGAGCCTGGCTGCTGGATCAGACCAAAGCGGAGGCCTGACTAGTCGGGCATCCTGGTCTCCCCACCTGCAAGCAGGACCTGAGAGCCACCTCAGCAGCAGCACTCTCTCTCCACTGGTGCTCCCCAGGATGTGGTCTCCTTTGGGGGCCTCCTGAGGGTCCTCGTGGTGGAGCATCTGCCTTGAAAGCTGAAGGTTCAGCCCCAAGTGTTTCCAGCTGGGAGTGGGAATGTCCCTGGCCTGAACCCCTGGAGAGCCATCACTGGCAGCCAAGGTAGACAAGACCAAGGTAGATGGACCCAGTGGTCTGACTCAGGAGAAGGCAGCCTCCAGAGTTTCCTGCCTCTGGCAGCGGAGGGAGGACATTGACCGCAAGGCTGGCACCCACATTCCAGCCCCCACCAGCCCCCACTTGCCCAAGGAGCCCCAAGGCGGTTGTGGAGGAGGAGACCCCCAAAGCCCCTTCCTTCCTCCTGACCAAGGAGACCTTCAAGGGGGAGTCCAGCCTTTCTTCTCCTTCTGGGCAAGGAGAGCTGGATGTGGGCAAGTCTCCCGGGCTGCAATTGCTTGCCCTCCCTCTCCCCCAGGGGATCGATACTCCTTCTGCTCGAGGGCTTGATAACAGGGCTGGTTTTATAGGAAAATCTTTGGGGATGCTATCAGACCAAACATTCTGCTCGGGAAAATCATTAGACTAGCTTTGTCTTTAGCAGGCTGAGCCGAGCCCCAGCTAAGTAGGCGAGGTCTGCTGGCAAGGAGAGCTGGCCCTTGTGGAGCAGCCATGGTGGTTGCCGGCGGGGTGGGTGTCATTTGGAGCAGGTGTGAGCAGCTTGTGCTGATCCAGATAGGGCAGGGGGACAAGGCCTGGCAAGGAAGTCTTCCCTGCCCCCACCCCACCAGAAGAAATTGAAATATGGACATGGTTCAGTCCTTTCCAGGGGAATTTGCCTGGAGAGTGTTTGGCTGCCTTTGGAGGGCCAACTGCCAAATGGCTCAGGGCACTTGTGGGTGGGGGGGGTGTGCTCAGGCCCACATGTGAATACCCAGATGTGACCATCTCCGCTGGAGGCTGAGGGGAGGAGGCAGGCAGGCAGGCAGCGGTTGTCAGAGGAGCGATTCAGCCCAGCAGGACCAAAGGCTGCCTTCCTAGTGGCGGCTGCTTTCTCCTCTCGGTGTCTCCCGTGCCCTTGAGCCTGAAATAGATGCTACTCCAGAACAAAACAACAAGCCATGCAGGACTGTGCCGGCCTCGCAGCTCTGCATGCGTCTCTTCAAAAGGTGCAGCGGTTGTAGAAGCACCACATGCGGTGGGCGGAAGGGGGAGGCGAGGGGCAGGATTTGGCCTCAGAGGTGCACCTGTGTGTGAGAGAGGGAGAGAATGAGTGGAAAGGGGGCTGTGCTCTGGGCACCTGAGGCCGATTTCAAGGGAGACGTGAAATGCTTCTGAGCCTCTCCCCTCTATGGGTCACGTGTGCGAGGTTTTGACACACAATTGGCCAGAGCGAGGGAGAGACATCAGACCTTGGTTCCTGCCAGCGTGGATCTTGCCAGTTTTGTGGACTAGCCAGTTCCAACATCACACTTGGAAGCAGCCTCTAAAGCTGCAGCCTTCAGCCTTTTCAGACCCAGGATGCACTTTGCATAGACTCAGAGACATCTAGTCCAACCCCTTGCAATTCAGGAATCACAGCTAAAGCATCCGTGACAGATGTCTGTCTAACCTGGGCTTAAAAAAAACCCAGTGCCCCCAAACATGCATTGGGGGATCCGTTTCTTAACCTTTCCCATCTATTTCCATGGTGGCCGTGCTCCAGTTTGAGCTGCTGCTCAAATCAGTCCATGACCTGCTAGTGGTTCTTGCCCCACCAGTTGCAGACCAGAGCTCGAAAGGAGCCCCCTTCAAATGCCGGAGCATTTCCTTTTTCAACTGGTGGAGTCCTAGTTTGTGGCTTGGAGGGGAAGAGGGGCCCAAGGCTCTTGGGCATTTTGGTGGCCCTACAAGGCTGAGTTCCCAGGGGGGGCTATGGAAGCTGCCATTTTGGATTTCTGTTTGGCTGATGAGGATTTGAGCAAAGGCTCTGTGGAGAACTGGAAGGATCAAATGAGTTAAAGAGCATCCTTGGGCTGTGGGGGTGTCCCGAGGCCCCCACTTCTCTGGTCCTGCCCACTGCCTGAAATGTTTCACAGACGGGAGGTGGTGGTCTGTCCTGGACAGTGCAGAGTTCCCAAGGCATGGATATACAAAAGTCCGGGGTGCTGATGTCCTCTCACCCCCAAGGGGCTTGGAAGCAGACACACCTGCAAGGATCATACCTGTGGGAGTTGGCATGGGAGAGCTGGAGGAGATAAGAGGTTCATAGAATTGTAGAGTTGGTTCATCTAGTCTATGCACGGCAGGAATCTCAGCAAACATTCTAGCCAGAGAGGAGGGGATAGAGCAGTCCTGGGTCACAGGCTTGTCCTGCTGAGCCTCCCAGACAACCCAGAGAGCTCAGTTCAGCCTGGCAAAATCCCTGGCCTCCTCCTCCTCCTCACTGGTTTTCTTTTCCATTTATGGGAGAGGAGCAGATCTTGAAGCATAAATAAGGGAGAAGCTACACTGGAGCAGGTGCTCGTTTCAATTTGTTATCCTGGTTGTTGATGGATGTCTCTGGACTACAGCAGTACAAGGTATTTGTTCTCGGATCAAAAGGACCCTTTTGCTGAAGAATTAGGGCTGCTACAGATCCGCTGGTGCTCCCCAAAGCATGAACATTAGAAGTTGAGGCTCCTGCCTCCGCTTCCTGCACCACATAAACAGACAAGAGATGCCAACCCAGTTTGTCATGCTAAGCCCAACCATGGCTTCATGGTGGCATGCAGGTGTGGTCTCTCAGAGAGGAGAATGTGCCCACTTTGCAGCTGAGAGCTAAGTCATGGTTGGGCAGAACTTGTCCTCTGAATCTGGGCTTGTGGGTTGACAGACTCCAGGCAAACCAAAAGCAGGTGACACGAAAGCAAACCATGGCTTAGTGGTGCAACAGAACCTGAGGAGGAAGGAGACAGTCGCCATCTCCTCTCCATGGCTTTGTGGGTCCATGCGAAGCTCTGGTTCGTTAGGTTGTGCTACTGTTTATTTACATGCTGCCTTTTCACCAAAAGACTCCCAAGGCAACTCCCAGGAACAAACAGATACATTCTTCACCAAAATATATTTATATACCACTGTTTCATAAAAATATATCACAGCAGTTTGCAACAATATAAAAACACAAAACCATACAGTAAATTCATAAGGCGTTCGAAGCAAATACGTACAAACACAATGATACAAATACAGAATAATGCAAATCCAGATGATGCATATTCAAAACTGCCATAGAATCAGAGAGTTGGAAGGGATCCCAAGGGTCATCTATTCCAAGCGTGTCCAGTGCAGGGATCTCAGCTAGAGAATCTCTGATCAGGGTCCCAGGCAGGGTCGGTGTGGCAAGGCAGATGCCCCGTGGTGGGTCCCCCAGACCCTCCCCTGCCACTCAGTGTTGCACGAGAACAGGTCCCTTCCCTTGCGTTGTGCCCGTGCTTCCCTCTTTGGCTCCAGCCTCCCTCTCTCCTTGGCCTCCTACCCTCCTCCTGGCTCTGGGGCCCTGAGCCCCTTCCCTCTCTGCATTCCTCTGGCTTGAGGAGATCTTGGTGAGGAGCCCAAAAGCAGCCGGATCAGGCTAATGGCCTCCCTGGCTCATCACCCCTTTCCCCCTGTTGACCAACCAGAAGTCCCTGTAGCTTCCGAGGTCTGCTTTGGTTTGGAGGGCTGGGCTGAGGGAGAAGGAGCTGGAATTGACTCTGGGGTGGGGATCCTTCCAGCCAATTGATATTTTGTAATGGAAAGAACAATCAGCTTGAGCCCACCATGGCCCCTTCCTTCTCTCCACCCATATTATGTTCTTCCTATGCCAATAAACCTCATAGAGATCCTCTGTCTAAATTGAGTAGCTCCCCTCCACCTCCCTAGCAGTGGCGGAGCTTCAAGCTCCGGCGGGGGGCCGAGACCAGGAGAGGGTGTGGCTGGCACGCATCCTGGGTGCATGGCGCCCAGCACGGGAGGGGGGAGCCATGATGGCACCCCACCGGGATTGTGCCGCCAGAGACGGTGCGCTCCCCCCGCACCCCTGTTCCTCTGCCAGTGCTCCTTAGTGACTCATTTGAAAGCCGGTACCAGATTGAAGAACATCAGAAGAGCTTTCTGGATCAGGCCCATCTAGTCCAGCATCCTCTTCTCACAGTGGCCAACCAGATGCCCTAAATGGGAAACCAACATGCAGGATCTGAGCACAAGAGCATCCTTCTCCCCTCCTGGGGTTTCCAGTAACTGGAAGCATCTCTGCCTCTGACTGTGGAGGCAGAGCAGAGTCCTTGTGGCCAGGAGCCATGGAGAGCTTTGTCCTCCATGAATTTGCACAATTCTTTTAAAAAGCCATTCCAGTTAGTGATGGTCGCTGCCCTCCTGCAGAAGTGAGCTCCATCTTTTTCAGCAAAGCTGCCTTCCTGGCCTGAGCCCCTTTGTCCTCTGACCTGGGGGTGGCGCTCTTCCCAACAGGACTGCATGCCAAAATTGTGCCCCCCCTGTGAGGGCTCCCCTATCCATGTCCTTGGGCCTCTCCCCAATTCACCACTGCCCTGTACGGCTCCTTCCCTTGCTGCTCCTTCAAGGGGGTCTCCACCCCCCTTGTTTAATCCTCCTCATCCTTCTCTGTGGCTTCACGGGGCTCATTCTTCACATGGGGGCAGGGAAGACTTGCCCCCTTTAAATGTGTTGCTGCAAGAGGATTTTAGTTTTTGTTCTTTGCTGTTTCTATCTGATTTCAGCATTTCTGTTGCGTTTGCTCTGAAAGAAATCACCTTGAGGTACCTGAGCGCAAAAAATGCAGCTTATATTTATTAATAACGTCAGCTGCCGCTACTGCATTTCTAACCTGCCCTGTATCAAATGATCTCAGAGCAGGTTGCAATCCATAAATATGCCAATACAACGTAAACTGTAAAAACCACAAAAATCAACCATGTGAAATCTAATAACCAGTGGCAAAATCCAATATAGGGCCATTATACAAATCGGTGGTGTGACTGGCTTTGGAATACTGTGCTGTTCTGGTTGCCTCCCCTCAAAAAGGACACTGTAGAGTTGGAGAAGTTTCAGAAAGGGGCACCAAAGTGATCAAGGAGGCAATGAGGCTGCCAAAAGCCAGTTGCTCAATTCGCCAACAAATTTGGGACCTAGAATTTCAGTGTCATGTGAGTGAGATGAATAAACACCCAGCAGTCAAAGATGGTTTTACCCCAGCAATATATCTGTCAAAATTACAAATATCTAAATATAGACGGTCGTTCACCCTCGCTAGATTCAACGTGCTGCCATCTGCCTTATTGCAGGGCAGATCTGTGGGTAAACCGTATGTGGAACGAGTTTGCTGCTTGGCCTGATAGAGGTGGAAACCGTCTCTCATGTCTTGCTAGAATGTCGTTTTTATGAGGATATTCGCTCGGTCTTTATCACCCCTGTTATACAGAAAATTCCAAGTGGGTCTGAACCTCAGTGCTTAAAATTCCTGATAGAGGATAAGGATCCAGAGATCACGCCAAGGGGGGCCAAATTTTGCGTGGCTGCCATAAAACTCAGGGAACAAGCTGTGCTATTACAAAGACTAAGGTCTCAGGTACAAACTCTAGATAATATTTTAGAGACTAAGACCTAAACCACATTTCCAATGGCTGTCATATTCATATTGTTTATTGTCATAGTTGATTGTTAATTCAGACTTAATTCTATTGTGTTTTATGTTCGCTTAGTACGGTTTGTGAATCTGGTCTGGGACCATAATAAATTTCATTCATTCAAATACCAGTTGCTGGAAACCCCAGGAGAGGAGAGAGGAGCTCTTGGGCTTGGATCCTGCTTGCGGGTTTCCCATAATGGGCATCTGGTTGGCCCTTGTGAGAACAGGATGCTGGGCTGCTTGGACCCTGGTCTGCTCCGCCAGGGCTCTTCTCATGATCTGAACATGAGCATGCAGCTCAGACACCACAGCCTCCACTAAGAGCCACCCACACCCCAAATTCACTTGGTGCCTTGACGAGACCAATGGTGCCAACCAGGCCTAATCCTGAATTCACTGAGAACAGGAGGCACGCTAGACTAGATGGCTGGATCAGCAGGCTGTTCTTGTGTTCTTTTGCACTTCCTGGCTGCCTGAATCGCACAACAGTCTAGATCATGGGTAGGCAAACTACGGCCTGGGGGCTGGATCCGGCCCAATCTCCTTCTCAATCCGGCCCGCAGACGGTCCGGGAATCAGCGTGTTTTTACGAGTAGAAAGTGTCCTTTTATTGAAAATGCATCTCTGGGTTATTTGTGGGGCTTAGGAATTCATTCTTTTTCCAAAATATAGTCCGGCCCCCACAAGGTCTGAGGGACAGTGGACCGGCCCCCTGCCATAGGTTTCTGGTCTCCTTGTCAGCCCCCCAGCAGAGTGGCCAGTGGGGGGGCTGATGTTGCTGGACCCCAGCCCCCCACTGGCACCCCCAATGACTGGCAGTACAGAGAAGGGCAGAGGGGAGGGCCACAAGCGGTTTCTTCATCCGGTGCATGCACATTCCTCCGCTGCCAACACTTTCCTCCCTTGGCCTATGTTTTGCAGGGCATCTGGGGGGGGCAGCAGTGGGGAGATGGGGGCCAAGAGGAGCCCTGTTGGCTGAAAAGAATTGTTCTTTGATGCTGTAAGGGCAGCACCGTGGGGGCTCCACAGATCAAGAAATGAATAGAAATATCTCTGGTGCCGGCATTCTCCGAAGCCTCTTTTCTGAGTTTATCCTCCTCGGGAAAATGGATTGTTTACAATATCATCTGTTTCCTTAGTAAATCTAAAGCCCGTGAAATGGGGAGAATCTCATCTCTTACCTGCAAATATTGTGTGAAATGGCAAATCTGCAGAATTGCGCACCCCCACCCCCACCACTACTGTTGCAGTAGTCATTGTGCATTGCTGAATTACTTTCCAGGGTGTATTTTAGCAATACACGCTTAATAGCTGAAAGGGGAAATAGAAAAAGATATTTCTGCTTATTTCTTTTTGTTTGGGTGCATTATTATTATTATTATTATTAAACACGTCGTAATTCCGTTTTTTGATACTTTTGTGCTGTGAGAGCGAAGGAAGGGATTATCCATCTTGGGTGGCTCCTCTTATCCGACAGAATAATATCTAGGCAGGCATGATCGTCAGTGTTATCTGTGATTCTCCTATGCTTTCTGGGGGGCCCTCGCCTGGTTCTGCAGTCAAGCAGGGATGTGTCTGTCTGTGCATTTGTGGTCATGCTGGATTCAGCAGGATTTGTCAGCAAACATGCTCATCCATGGCACGCATGTGGCAGTCCTCCCACTGACCTCGTGAGGCGCATGGCTTGTTCTAGAGCTGTGGCTCCCAAAGTGGGTGATGGGACATGAGTGGGGGGCACTGAGAGGCAAGGGGGCAGCAGGGGGACGCTTGGGGTGTAAATGGCCACCAGACTTTGAAAAGCTGACAGATCAAGTGCATCCATTTTGTTGCATTAATTGGTTACTGTTTTGAGTTTTGTCGTGTTATTGCCTTCCTTAGTGGGTTGTGCAAACTGCTATTCTGAAGAATGCTTTTTGTAGGGGACAGTAGAGGATGAGTTTGTGGAACCAAGGGGGTGGGCCCCCCAAAGGTTTTGGGAACCCCTGAACCATAGTTAAATTGAGCTTTGAATTGTCTTGCTGGATGGTCGGCTCAGTGTTCCTCTGACTCCTAATTCTTCATGCCAGCTGTGGTTATAAAAAGATGTTGGAGAAGGTCTGGGTTGCACCTTAACAGCCCCCACACTATGCAAACCTCCAGAGAGGAGGACTTGGCTGCTTTGCTCACCCCCAATTCTCCTCCTTCCCCTCTCACCTGAGAAAGGTCACCTGAACCCACATCTCGTCGTCTCGCTCTCCTGAGTCTGGGCAGGCCAGGAGGAGCAACCAAGGATTGTCGGAGTGACAAGAAATTCAGCATGTCAACCCAGCTGCGAAAAAGGCAAATTCCATGCCAGGGATCACTAGGAAAGGAATTGGAAATAAATCTGTTGATATCAGAATGCTGTTCTGCAAATCTGTGGTGCAACCAGATCTGGGATGCTGTGTCCAGTCTTGGTTGCCTCACCTCAAAGAGGAGAATGTACGGTTGGAAAAGGTCCACAGAAGGGCCGCCAGAATGATCATGGGGGCGGAGAAAGGCTGCAGAGTTTGGGACTTAATCTTAAACAGAGAAAAGGCAAGTAAGAGGATAGAGGTTTGTAAAATTGTGCACAGCATGGACTTCATCTCGCATAACACTGGAACTCATGGACATCCCAGGAAGCTGGAAGATTCCGGACAAATATACCAAGAAATGACTTATTCATGTAGCAGAGTTAAACTATGGAGCTTACTCCCAAAGGAGGCAGTGATGGTCACCAACCGAGATGCCTTTAAAAGAGGATCAGACCAATTCAAGGAGGAGGAGGAGGAGAGGGATATTGACGGCTGCTGGCCAGGATGGCTCTGCTCTGTTTTCATGGTGGGGGCAGTAAATGCTTCTGAATACCCCCTGCTGGAAGCTGCAAGAGGGAAGGTGGCTCTTGGCCTTGAATCCTCCTGGTGGGTTTCCATAATGCCATCTTCTTGGCCCCTGGGAGATCAGGATGCTGGAGTAGGTGAGCCATTGCCAGGATCCAGCAGGCTCTTCTTAGGTCCATTTAAATGGGATTTATTCCCCATATTTATAGACTATTTTGTAACCCTAGAGTTAGGCCTGAGAATGGGATTTTTATTTTTTATCCCAGCGGATCAAGACCCACCGCTGCATCCTCCACACTCGGCTGCCTGCTCAGCCTCCGCTTTCTTCCTTCGCTGCTTACCTTGAATATGAAATTGTAAGTTCAGATGCTGTTCCACAGAGAATCTGTGAATTTGGAAGGTACTCCAAGGGTCATCTAGTCCAGCCAACCTTTGCTCAGCAACCTCCAATGAAGGAGAATCTGCTGCCTTCTGTGTATGCAACTTCCTGCCTCTCCGATCTCTTTCCTGATCACTGGTTTTGTGCCAGTGAGGAAGAAGAACATTGGGATTTCGCTCTGATAAAAATCGGGTTGCAGGGAGATGGCATTGGGGGCCCCCACGAAAGGCCACTTCCCACTGGGGCTTCCAGCAGGAGGTGAATGGTTGTTGCAGCTTCCTCTGGCCATCCTGAGATGGTCCTCTCTTGGCAGTGCATGGGGGAGATCAGGGAAGCAGAGAGGAGTTCAGGTGGGTGGCCCTGGAGATGTGGGCTTGCTCTTGGAAGCTGGTGGCGAACTCTCTAAGCTTGAGCCCCGGAGTCGTGGCCTCGGTGGGTCTTTGGCTGCTGCCGTCCTGCAACCTGCTTGTCTCATGGCTCCAATAGTCACCTGGGGCCGGTGGTTTGTAACACCCTCTCCTAGCATGGGGGACTCTCTAGTTTTAGAGAAAAGGCAAGTGAGAGGCAGCATGATAAATGTTTATAAAAAGCTGCATGGCATGGAGAACTGGGCCAAAACGAACAAAGCGGATTTCAGTAGGGACAGACACAAGTTTTTACACTCAAGCAGGAAGAACCAGTTGCACACATAGAAGATACTTAGCTGTTATGGAAATGACATGCCCCCCCCCACATCTTTAAAGTTGTTACAATGTTACAAATATTATGCCTGAATGTATCCTTTCGACTTGACAGCTCAGGGAAGATACCTAGCTTTATAAATTCGTAGAAAATCCATTCTTTAACCAACTCTCCTCATTCCAACGCCATTTTAACCCTTAAAGAAAGGTGAATTTGGGCTCCACCTCCCTCCATGAACCAAGAAGCAGGAAGTCACGTAGGCAGCAGGAACAGGGCATCCCACCACAATTCTCCAAGTGTGAGAGCCCATACACATCAGGGAGCACCCCACCCAGGGAGTGACCAAGGGGGCAGCAATGGACATCTGCAGAGGCAGTTTAGCAAGCCAGGTGTTCTGAAAGCCCACCTCCAGATAAGTCCTGAGGGCAAGGAGATGTAAAAAGTTTTATTGTTCTTTTGGAGATACTTAAGAGGGGTTGGGAAAGGTGTCTGAGAAAGTGACCTAATGTTGAACTTGTGTAACCCTTGTATACCCCTCCTAGTGATGTAGAGGCGATGTGTCAATGATGCTGCTCAAAGTGTATTCTGGGGGAAAGAGGGAAGGTTTAAAAGAGGATGTCACCCCCTGCTCGGGGTTCTTACTCCTGGGGAGACCTGTTGCGCAACAATAAAGATCGTGGTCTACTGACCACTGTTTTGCTCCTATATTTGGCTGGAACGTCCTTCCTTTCTGACTGTATAGACCCGCAGGCTCTGCCCAACGAGCTGGGCTCTTGAGTATCCTCTCAACCCAGAATTTTCCTTAACATGGCTTACCAGCAGTACATGTGGAAAAGGTCTGTGGGTCTTGGTGGTCCACAAGCCTCACCTGAGCCCACAGTGTGATGCAGTAGCAGCAGAAGAAAGCGAATGCTATTCTAGGCTGCATCAAGAGAAGTCCAATGTCCAGACCAAGGAAAGTCATGGTACCCTCTCTTCTGCCTTGATCAGACCACACCTGGAATATTGTGTTCAGTTCTGGGCACCAGAATTTGACCTACCTGACAGGGTTGTTGTGAAGGTGAAAAGGGGAGGAGCACGCCACTTTGAGCTCCTTGGAGGATATTGGTGGGCTAAAAGTGCAAGAAGTAAAAATAAATGCCGAAGCAACGAGGTCTCAGACGGGCGATTTCTGCACGCTTGATTCCTCCATCAGAGGGCCTCTATTGGTGGTCCTGCAGAAGGGGTGACAGGGAGCCCACCCAGGACCCACAAGCTGCCCTTGCCTCCTGCCTTCCCTGCTGTGTCAGGCGCTGGCCTTTGTGAGGTGGGGCCTCACTCTGGCTCGCAGGAGCCGTTTTGTCCGTCAGCGCCTGTTTGGTTGCTTTTCCTGGAACAGTCATGAGCTTCTCCTTAGCGATGCAAGACTCCACAGATGACATCAACCTGGCAGGTGGGCTGTGGCTGCCGTGGGTCCCTCCCCACAGGTCTGAGTCACTCTTCCTGGCTTCTCTTTGAGGGAATGGGAAGTGAATGCCATAACCTCCTTTCTGCATGGCATCCACCTGTCTTTGTGTGGGATGGAGAGTGAGAGCAAGTTTCACGACTACCCTGAGATCTCCCAGAGGGTTGGACCTGAAGTCCGCTGGGCTCAAATGGCAAGAAAGAGGATTTAGAAGAAACCTGAGGGAGAAATTCTTCCTGGTGCCAGCTGCACTGCTGTGCCTCAGCCTGTCTGGGAACAGGGTGGCCTCTCCTGGAGAAGCCAGGTTGTCATACTGGACTTCCTGCCTGGGCAACTTTCAAGATTGGGTTGCAAGAGCACTCGGTTTTTTTGCTGGATGTAGAAATGGCTGGAAACCCTTTAACCCGCTAAGTGCAGCTTCACAGTGATGGTTGGTGGAGGAATTGTGGACCTTGGATCAGAGGTGAGGCCACAGAGAGCTTGGGGAAATCATTGTATTTGGGCAATGGATCGGAGTCCTGGTATTTTAGGCGCAGCTGGACACTGGCTCTTTCCTAACTGTCCTCTACCCCTTTAAGGTAATCCATGAGCCTGATTTCAACTTCTGACTTTACAAGTGGTTCAAAAACAGAATTTAAAAGAGATTTCTGCCTGGCAAATGTTAGAAGGCTTTTGAATTTCACAGCAGAGAACATGTGTGTGTAAATTGCCTCCCAGAGTTAGTCTTATGGCACCTTAAAGGCTAATTGCAGATATATCATTATATTGATTGATTGATTGATTGAATGCATATATATTCCACCGTTTTCTCCAAGGAGCTCAGAGTGGTGTACATGGCTCTCCTCCTCCTCATCTGATCCTCATAGTAACCTTGCGAGGTAGGGTTAGGTGGAGAGGCAGTGACTGGGCCAGGTTCACCCAATGAGCTTCAGGCTGGGTGGGATTTGAACCCAGTTCACTACTAGTCTGACATTCTAACCACCACATCACACTGACATGGTGGGCCTCAGGGATCCCTGGTCATCCTTGAGAGCGATGTGCTGGGCACTACCACCTGGAAAGGGGCACATGGCACAATTGCATGCCCCCCAAGCAAGGGAGAAAGCTTCTTCAATGGTGCCAGCTTCTCCTGGTTGTCTCTTGGCCTGCATGGAGGGGCAGGGGCAAGGGAGGGCTATCAAGGGCTCCTAGCTAGGGAAGAGGGCTCATGTGCTCGGATCCTGCTTGCTGGTTTCCCACAGGCAACTGTTCAGCCATTGTGAGAGCAGGATGAGGACCCAGGTGAACTACTGGCCTGTTTCAGCAGGATCTTCTGATGCTCACTCTCCTTCCTTGGAGAGCAGAGGTTGGGTGGTCATCTGTCCTGGAGACTCCTGCATTGCAGGGGGATGGACTAGATGACTCTTGGGGTCCCTTCCAACTCTACCCTTCTACAGTTCTATGATTCTCATGGAAACACAGAAGAGCAGGCTCTTCTGGTGCTGTTATGCAAGGGAAATGCCGTCATGCTCCTCAACGCGCTCGAGCAAGCGGCTTTCTTGGTAGCAACGGCAAGAGCAGGTCCTAGTAAATGACAGATGGAGAGAGCTATTCTGGCAGCAGGCTGAGGAGATGCAGGCTGCTCTTCATCAGAGCATCGGAAAAGCCTGCTGGATCAGGCCAATGGGCACCACCTCGTAGGGCATCCCGTTCTTGCCCTGGCCATCGGATGCCCCAGGGAGAAGCCCACAGGCAGGAGCTGAGCATAAGAGCCCTTCTCCAGCACATCCCCCACCCAGCCCACCTTTTGGAAAATGGAAAGCTGGCTGGAGTCTGTTCTCTCCCTTCCTCCCACAAAGGGATCACCCAGGGGGAAAGGATCGGGTCCTTGGCAAGAGCGAGCAGCCAAGTGGTGCTGGCATGTCTGCCCCTTAATCACATCTTGGTTTCAACACCTGTTTGGAAATCTGACTCGAGGTGTGTGGCACCTTGAGAGTTCTGTGCTCCTAGGCAGAATGAGAAAGCAAGGAGACCCAAGGCAAGCAAGTAAAAAGGGTGTGGTTTTTAATATATATATATATATATATATATATATATATATATATATAAACAACAACTGGGGAATTTGTGTGGCTTGGTGGGAATTGTCACAAGCGATGTTGAGAAGCTGCTGTGTTGGCGTTCCATGTGGCAAGCACCAACGATTCGTGATTTCCCCTCCCTTGCAGGCCTTGGCACACGCCGTCCTGCAAAGTATGGATGGGCTGACTCCTCTCAAACCACCCCACCACCTATGAACACCCTTCCAAAAAATCAGGATAAAAGGGGCTTTGGATACCTTAACTGCAAATGAGTTTAGAGTTGCCCACCAAAGGTTTTCCCGAGTCCAGAGTGGGTCCCATGTGGGTCACACTTTTGACACTTGGTTGTGATGAGCAGGCCTCTGGGCAGATGCAGGAAAAGGCATCTTGGACCCGTGACGCTCCTGGTTTGGCGGATGGCTTTGAGCAGATCTTCCTCTGGTCTTGAGCCAAGAATTGTAGCGGAATCACGAAGGCGAAGCCAGGAGGGGGGTGGCGTCTCAGCAAACCACCTCTGGGGGCTGGGCTGGCGGATGTGTAGCCTAGCTGTGCCCTTTGTGTTTGTGCTGCAGGCAGTGACTTAGTGCCTGAATTTATCTCCAGGCAAAGCTGAGGGTTGTGTAAGTTTCCTAGATAAATAAAGGAACTGGGCCACTCGCCCACACCCTGCCCTGTCCGGCCATCTGGCCAAGGAAGGCCGGAAGCCAGAATTGAGAGCCACAGCTTCCTGAATTCTCCTCCTCCTCCTCCTCCTCCTCTTTCTTCAAGTGGCGCTGGAGTCGAGAGCTAGTGGTCCAGGGACCAGGCACTGCCCCAGCAGGGGACAAAGGCCTTGTCTCCCAAGATGATGCTTGCTAGCCCTCCTTGTGCCCCCCTAAAAAATTTTCTGCCCCCCAAAACCCTCCAAATAAGTGAAACAGAGAAAAAGGTTCCCTTCTCCTGCATGGTTGGGGGTTTGATGGCCACTCTTGTTTTGGAAAATCTCCCACCCCTTTTAATTTGTCCCGCCACTGGAACATCCTGTCAGAGGAAGGATTCTGGCTCCCTCACAAATCTGTCCTTGGGTTCCCCACAGAGCGAACATCTTCAGAAGGTGGTGGAGTCTCCTTCCTTGGAGTTTGGAAGGTCCTCTGCCGTGGATGCTGGAGATTCCTGCAACCCTCCCAACCCCACCGTTCTATGAGACGATGAACTCTCCAGAACGGATTTGAGGCTGTCCTAAGGCACATCTAATGCCACAAAACACCTTCATCAGTCGGAAGGTTCACCAAAGCAAGAGCCTGGGGTGGGGCTGGTAAAAGGAAGCTGTCTTGGCACTGAATCTGCACTTCATTTTTGCATTGGGCTCTAAATATTGTGTCTGTGCACACCGCACAACTGGCCATCCCATTCTAGCAATCTTTAAAATCTCTGGCATACCTGGGTATCAGTTAGTTGCCCAGAGTGGTTGGGGCATCCCAGTCAGATGGGTAGGGTATTGCTGCTATTATTATTATTATTATTATTATTATTATTATATTGTTATTATTATTGTGTATGTCTGTGTTTGGGGGAAGCAATACAGAATCTGAGCACCGGCAGAAGCTGCCCATTTGCGGTCAGACACTTAGAGGAGGGCTAGCAAAACCCCCAGAGCTTGTGAAAGAAAAAGTCCTTCTTCATGCAGCGCCTGGTTAAATTGAAGAATTCACTCCGCAGGAGGCAGTGATGGCTGCCAACCTAGATGGATTTAAAACTGGATTAAACAAATTCATGGACGGCCATGGGTGGCTCCTGGCTAGGGTGGTTCTGCTCTGCCTCCACATTCGGAAGCAGCCAGGCTTCTGAATGTCAGTTGCTGGAACTGCAGGAGGGCAGAGCTGCTCTTGCGTTCGAATCCAATTTGGGTTTCTCACTGAGGCATCTGGTTGGCCCCTGTGGGAACTGGATGCTGGACTAGATGGGCCAGGGGCCTCATCCAGCAGGGCTTTTATTACATTCTTAGGCTGCCCCTTCAGTCTTGAGATGCCTTCTGGGCACTGGGCAGGCTTGGTCCCTGCAACTGGAAGTGGTCTTCCATGGATCCCTGTTTGAACTGGGAGCTGTTTCAGCCAGTGTTCGTGGACCCCTGGCCTTTGGGTGGGAGGAAAAGGTCCATTTAGCTGGAGCCCCCGCCAAGGGTCCCACCACAAAGTCATCCCTTAGCAAGCCTTTACCTGAACATTGCCCCCGACCAGATTTCGTCTCTGTGCCAGAGCTGCGAGTGTGTCTCCTATCTCGAAGGCTCAGATGAAGAGAGAGCTGAGTTAAGAACATTAGAACCAGGAGGCCTATAAAGGCCAGGCGAGAGAAACACAAACAGAGGCCGCCTCCTGCAAGGAGGACCTTGATCTGCCTCAAGATACAAATCTCGACTTGCTTCTTTCATGCAGTATTAGTGGGGGTGGGGACAATGGGAGCCAACAGTCTTGTTTGGGAGGTTAAAAACATGGTTTGTTAATAATAGAATATGAGTTTATCCTGCAGTTGTGATGTTTGTCCTGTTTTTTAGTTGCTGGTTTGGTTATTAGCGTTTTGTAGATTGCAGTTGTTTTACTGATGATTTGTTAATTACATTATATGATTTATGCTGTACTCTTTATGTTGTTCTCTTATGGCTAGTTATTGTTTGTAAGCCACTTTGGGAAAACAGCATGGAAGCATCATCAATCAATCAACCAACAAGCCCCTTTGGAGCAACTAATACTTTTCCTGGGAAAGGGCCTTTCAACATCAGGGGAAGGTTTTCGCGTCCCCCGCCCAGCCCCTTCTCTGTTTTCTGCCTTTTGCAGAAAAGGCTGCTTATTTTTCAAAGCCCTTTGTGGTCTGGCAGCTCGGATGTTTGATCTGCCTCTTTGAAAAAAGGACAGGGGGAGATAGATTCCTTCAGGGTGCTGGGATTGATTAAAACGGGCCTAATAATAATTAGGTCGAATCAAACTTGTTTTTTAAAAAATGTAATTGGATCTGAGATTAAAGTTCTGCAATGATGATCCTTGTTCTGTTCTGTAATCTCCAGACGGGGTCTGGGCTGGGCTGCCATCTTATCTGAGGTCTGATGGGGGCTGTTCTGGGTGGGGAGAGGGCAGGACACCCCTTAAGTCTCTGAGCCCAACATGGGGGGGGGGTTAATGCTGCCAGTGGCTCCCCTGGGGGTGAGTAAGGGAACTCTGCCAGGAACATGGAAGCCCTCCTGTCTCCATGATGTGTTGTGTGATGATTAGAATCCCCATCTCTGCACCTTGTTCATAGAATCCCAGACTTGTAGAGTTGGAAGGGATTCTCCCAGCCCCCACAATGCAGGAATCACATCTCAAGAATCCCTGACAGATGGCCGTCCAACCTTTGCTTAAAAACCTCAGAGGAAGGAGAGTCCACCACTTTCCATCAGAAAGTTCTTCCTAATATTTAATCAAATTCACAAACCATTCAACCTGGGGAGACTCCTTTAAACAGGCAGGCAAGGGGATGGGGACCAGTTGCTGCTTCGTCCAAGATGATGGGCGACCAAGAAGATGAAGGGTCTAGGAAGTCTTGTGAGGTGGAGGGAGTTGGGTGTCTTTAGCCTGGAGAAGAGGAAACTGAGAGGGGACATGAGAGCCACCTTCAAATATCTTGTAGGCTGGAGGGAGCGAGCTTGTTTTCTCCTGCTCTGGAGGGGAGGACCTAAATCAGTGGGTTCAAATGACAAGAAATGAGATTTTGTGTACTGCAGGGAGATGGATTCAACGACGCTCAGGGTCCCTTCCAAGGCTACATTTCTATGAAGCCTTCTCCCTTATCTGCAATTTTTCCAGGTGCTGGTTTTGAACTTCAAGCCTCTTCATGGTGAGGTGCCTTTTACATAGAGTCAATGGAAGGGACCTGAGGGTCACCTCGTCCAACTCCCTGCAATGCAGGAATCACATCTCAAGAATCCCTGACAGATGGCCGTCCAACCTCTGCTGGAAAATCTCAGTCCACCACCATCCGAGGGAGTCCATTCTACTGTTAAATAGCTCTTGCCAGCAGAAAGTTCTTCCTAATGTTTAGCTGGGATCTCCTTTCTTCTCATTTGGATCCATTGAATATTCCGCCTTGGTCAAGCCCCACCTGGAGTCCTCTGTCTAGTTCTCAGCACTCCAATTGGAGGAGGATATGGAAAAGCTGGAAGGTGTGCCAAGGAGGGAAACCAAGATGATCAAGGATCTTGACCAAGCCTTATGAGGTGTGCTTGAAGGAGCTGGGTATGTTTAGCCTGGAAAAGAGAAGACTGGGAGGAGATATGAGAGCCATCTTCAGAGATATCTCAAGGGCTGTCACATGGAAGAGGGAACAAGCTTATTTTCTCCTGCTCTGAATGGTAGGACTCGAACCTATGGCTTCAAGTTACAAGAAGGAGATTCCGACCAAACATCAGGAAGAACTTTCTGACAGCAGGAGCTGTTCCATAGTGGCATGGATTCCCTTGGGAGGTGGTGGACTCTCCGTCCTTGGAGGTTTTTAAGCAGAGGTTGGATGGCCATCTGCCATGGATGCTTTAGCTGAGATTCCTGCATTATAGGGGGTTGGACTAGATGACTCTTCTCCTCCCTTCTAACTTTACAATTCTAGGATTCTATAACAGACAGTATTCAAGACTGCTAAATAGAGCTTCCTTGTAGATTAGCAGTATATCTGTGTGGCTTCTCCTGTTTCCAGGCCCTGCTTGTGGCCTTTGCAGAGGCCTTTGGCTGGCTGGCTCTTGCTGCTGGGAGCAGCTATGGTGGAACTTCATGGTGGTGTGAGGGGTCTGGTGCATCTTTGCCCTGATCTAGCTGAGCAGTCTCTTCTTTGTGGAGAAGCTGGTTGTGGTGGTAGCTGAGGAGACTGAAGATCAGGAAGAGCTCCCTGATGGCAAGAGCTGTTCAACAGCGGATGACCTTGGAAGGTGGTGGACTCTTGTTCCATGGAGCGGTTGGAAGGCCACCTGCCAGGGATTCTTTAGCATTGCAAGGGGGTTGAGCTAGATGAGCCTTGGGGTCCCTTCCAACTTTATAGTTTCATGATTCTAGGAGACCCAGAGAAGGCGGTGCCAGGGCTTAACTGCCACCCCACAGCAGACGCCGACCATCCTGGGATGAGCTGGAGTTCTGCTCCCGCTGGCGATGAGTTTGATGCACCTCCGGATGAGTTTATTAAAACTCTTCTCTCTTTGCTTGATGAATTTTTCATGTCTGCAGGATGAATTGTACATAGCCCAAAAAATAAATTAAAATAAGTGCACATAAATCATTTACCATTCTTGGCTCCTGGAGAAAATTTGTTTCCGTTGCAGGGCTTGTCCTTTTTTAGACGGCATTATGATTATCCCCATCTTCTGCGGCGTGAATATTCCTTGAGATGATAAGGACGTCGTGTCTCTGAGAGATCCAAATCACATTCTTTTTCCCCCGTTGAAGATGGTCGGAGGAAGCCTCTGCTTCTCTGCAGTGTCCTGGAACATGTTGGATTAGCTTTATCTCACTTTCATACGGATAGAGCATCCGTTAGTGGGAAAGGCTGCAAATAAATCTTGCTTCTTAAAGGGCTGAAAGAGACGCTCTTGTTCTCGCACAATAAGACCCAGATTGTGTCTGCTCTGCACGGAGCCATCAATTTTCTCTTCTGTCCTTGCGGCAGCCTTAGAAGTCTGGTGCCTGTTTCTGGAACAATGCGCATTACGGAAGGGTGGCCTAGTGGTTAGAGTGCAGGACTCGGATCTGGCAGAGACCAAGGTTCAAATCCCCCCCTTGGCTGGGTTACCTCGGAGGCCAGTCACTGCCTTTCAGCCCAGCCTACCTCTCAGGGGTGTTGTGAGGATAAAACAGGAAGATGAAAACCGTAGGTGCCACCAACATTTGAGGAAAAGTGGGATACAAGCTCAATAAAGGGACCCCAAGGGTCACCTTCTCCCACCCCCTGCAAGGCAGGAATCGTGGCTAAAGGATCCCCGACCGAAGGCCTTCTGGCCTCCAAGGAAGGAGAGTCTCATCCTCTTCGCTGCCCAACAGCTCTGCCTGCATCTCTGCATTTATTTATTTCACAATCATTTATTCACCCCCCGACTGTGAAGCAACAACACCCTCAAAGTGGTTTACAAAGGGAAGAAGACAATGACATTGTCAGTAAAAACAACTCTTCTTTCTTAGTCGGAATCTCCTTTTATAGAATCATGAAAAAAGGAAAGAAGATTTCCTTGTTAGAGACCATTAGGAACGGTATTTTTTATTTTTATTTTTCAAAACGCCCTGTCGTCCTATGATTTTTAAAATACAGCAAAGGTGTCAAAAATATATCTGTCCTGATTTTCTTAAAATATACATTTCACACCAGTTGACAGAATTAAAAATCGACAAAATATTAATGTAAATAGTAATTAAAAAACTAAGAAAGCCAGGAAGACGGTCTGAAGCTGGGAATGTGGCGTGATTCATGAGGCCTCTCTTGAAATCCATAGCAGAGCCTCCCTTTAAATACTCAAAGAATCATAACGTCGTAGAGTTGGCGGGGACCTGGGGGTCATCTAGTCCCACCCCCGTAATCCAGGAAATACAGCTAAGGGATACCTGACAGGTCGACACCCAACTTCTGCTTAAAAAGCTCCCATGAAGAGACTCTGCCTCCCACTCTGGGCAGTTCTGGTTGGTCTGCTCCAAACAGGACATGGCAGAGCTGGAAAAGCTCCAGAAAGGGGGACCTGGTGGGGCCAAAGCCCTTTCCCTGCCCAGAAGAGGTTTCTGTAGTGGAGACGAGAAATGGGGAGATGCAGGAGGGGTCTGCCCTGGCACTTGCCCCCGCCCCATCTTCCCTGGGGGGAGGGCAGGTCTTTTCCCACAAATAACTCCTTGGCTCCCCTCTGGAGAAGAACAGGGACCGTCTCAGCTCAGGCCGACTCTTGGAGGCAACGGGGAGGGTGGGGTGGGACTTCGGAAGGGCTCCAAGTCCCTGTTTAGGTCTCACTTTTCCATGAGTAACACTCAAAACACCTAAAATCAAAATGGAAGAATACAATTCTATTTTTTTTTATAAAAAAACAGCAAGAAGAATTTACAGTATCTTAATATTTAGAACAACTTGGTAAACCTCATTATGGTTATAACATAAATGCAGTGGTACCTTGGTTCCGGAAGTCCGTTCCAAAACCAAAGCGTTCCAAAACCAAGGCACACTTTCCCATAGACAGTAATGCAAAATGGATTAATCCATTCCAGACTTTTAAAAACAACCCCTAAAACAGCAATTTAACATGAAATTTACTATCTAACGAGACCATTGATCCATAAAATGAAAGCAATAAACAATGTACTGCAGTCACACAATCAATCAATCAATCAATCAATCAGTAGCTGTACTGGGTTCCACACAGTGACAAAAAAAAAGAGCCACAAAAACAAAAACACAAAATAAATAGCCAAAACAGACAGACTTCAGCGTAACACTCAAAATGGAAGTGTGGCACTCAAACAGAGCATGTTCGGCTTCCGAAAAAAGTTCGCAAACTGGAACACTTGCTTCCGGATTTGCAGTTTTTGGGTTCCAAGTACCAAGGCATCTGAGAAGCAATGGACCACTGTATCAAGATATCAAATCATGAAAAAGCCACTCAACAATTCATTAAAATATTTAAGGCCATGGTTATAGTCTGCTGGATCAGGCCAGCATCCTGTTCCCACTGTGGCCAGCTAGACGCCTCTTCTGGGAATCCCAGAACCAGGAGCCGAGCACATGAGCCTCACTTTCCCTGCTGTCCTGTCCAGCAACTGCTTCCAGATGCACTGCTGCCTGTGGAGAGCCGTCGGGAGCCTTATTCTACTCCGTAAACCTGCCCTTTATAAGCCATCCAGGTTGGCGGCCATCTCTGCCTCTTGTGGGAGGGAGTTCCACAGTTTAACTATGCTCTGCAAGGGACTCAGGTGGCCTCAACCACTGAGCCTCTTGGACTTGCTGATCAGAAGGTCAGCGGTTCGAACCCCTGCGATGGGGTGAGCTTCCGTTGCTCTGTCCCAGCTCCTGCCAGCCTAGCAGTTCAAAAGCATTTGGATAAATAGGGATCGCCATGGCAGGAAGGTAAATGGTGTTTCTGTGCGCTCTGGTTTCCGTCCAGGTGTCCCATTGCATCAGAAGTAGTTTAGTCCTGCTGGCCACATGATCTGGAAAGCTGTCTGTGGACAAATGCTGGCTCCCTTGGCATGAAAGCGAGATGCACACCGCAACCCCATAGTCGCCTTTGACTGGACTTAACCATCCAGGGGTCCTTTACCTTTATCTTTACCTGCATGGCAAAGGACTTTAATCTACCTTGAGTCTTCCGGCTTCACGGGACGTCCACAAGTTCTAGTGTTAGGAAAGAGGGAAAGGGGCCTTTCTTTTCCCACTCTCTCCTTGCCATATATCCTTTGAGAAACTTCTCTGAGCGTGGCTTGATCCCCCTGAGTGTGCTTCCTTTCTCCGCCCGTCCCGTGCAGGCGCCAACTCTTTGCACATTGGGGTGTGTGCATCATTTCGCTGAGAGGAGAGTCACATGTGAGGTGGTGGCAGCTCCACCTGCCCTTCACCAGCTCATGGTGGGCAGAGGTCCAAGTTGCGTTGTGATTTCGCATTGCCATTTGGCGTCCAGATGGCTGGGTGAATCAGCTTCGAGGCCGAGAATGAGGAAGAATATTTGGTCAGCCAAGATGGAGGCCTCCTTGAGTTCTGCTCTGCTCAGTCATCCACTCTCTACATGGCTTAAGCATGTGAATTAAAATTGAGTGAAGCTCGGTGACTAAAAGTGAAAAAGGATGATTCAAACTTGTTTATTGTAATCTTTGTGCCATCAGCTAATTAGCAGAAAATCTTGTCTTGATTCCCCTTGCAGCCTCTTGGTCAGATGGGCTGAATCAGCTGGGCTGACGCTCCGCAGGTTTCCTCCAAAGTTCAGTCCTACTGGGCTCAAGGGAGCTTACTCCTGAGTAGGACTGTCCCACAGAAGACTTAGACAACAAACTAGTCATGAACTTTGTCTCTTAAGCAGGACAGGCCTAACTCGACCCAGATACAATTAAGTACAGCACCACCTAGTGAATAAATGATATGAAAGTTCTATCCACGCAGGGAGCACAATATTTCATCTTGTTTTTATTATTGCTTGTAAGCCGCTCTGAGCCCGGCCTTGGCTGGGGAGGGCGGGGTATAAATAAAAAATTATTATTATTATTATTAATATTGCACCCTTGATTTGGTGCCAGTGCCAAGGGGATTGAATTATTCGATGAGAAAACGTTTAAACATTTAGGACGCTTTAGTTGCTCCATCTTCCATGAAGCAACCCTGCAGATATTTGAAGATGGCCATCATATTACCTCTCAGGTTCCTTTTCTCCAGGTTAAGTGTACCCAACTACCTCAACCAATCCTCATATGGCTTGGTTTCCAGCCCCTTGGTCACCCTCCTCTGCCCACCTTCCAGCTTGTCAACACCCTTCTTAAATTGTGGTGCCGAGAATTGGACACAGTATTCCAAGCGTGGTCTGACCAAGGCAGAATAGAGTGAGATTTCAACTTCCCTTGATCTGGACACTAGACTTCTGTTGTTGCAGCCTAGAATAGCATTCGCTTTTTTTGCTGCTGCATCATATTGTTGATTCATGTTCAGCTTGTGGTCCAAGACCCCTAGATCCTCTTCACATGTACTGCTAGTAAGCCAAGTGTCCCTCATCCTATATTTGTGCATTTGGTTCTTCCTGCCCAAGTTCAGAACCTGACATTTGTCCCTATGGAAATTCATTTTGTTAGCTTGCGCCCAATTCTCCACTCTGTTAAGGTAACTTTGAATTCTGGCTCTGTCTTCTGTGACATTAGCTACCCTTCCCAGTTTGGTGTCATCTGCAAATTTGATGAGCATCCCCTCAATTCCTTCATCCAAGTCATTTATTAAGACATTGAACAACAACAGGCCCAGGACAGAACCCTGCAGCACCCCAATTGTGCCTCTGGAAATGCTAGATGATGATGATGATGATAACAACAACAACAACAATTATTATTATTATTTATACCCCTCCCACCTTGCTGAGTTTCCCCAGCTACTCTGGGCGGCTCCCAACAGAATATTAAAAGCACAATAAAGCACAAGTCATTAAAAACTTCCCTAAACAGGGCTGCCTTCAGATGTCTTCTAAAAGTCAGATAATTGTTGATTTCCTTGACATCTGATGGGAGGGCATTCCACAGGGTGGGCACCACCACCAAAAAGGCCCTCTACCTGGTTCCCTGCTTGAACATCCCTATAAAATCTCAGGCATTAAGGAGAAGAAGCTGGAATCTGGTTTTCCTTTGCTCTCTTCTGGGCAAGAGAGTTATTCAGAAAGCTTTTCCTTCTGGTGACTGTTGGGAGGGAATGGGGGACAGCAAATTATTCCATTGATTATTTATTGAACATGGGGATGCTGAGAGCTTGATTCAGATTCTCAAACAGCAAACTGGAAGGTTGTATGAAATTTCACACCTGCTATGTTACAATGGAGGCTAGAAGATGCTTTTCATTCCAACTTTTCTGTTTTTTCTTCCTACTCAACACTTCTGTGATTCTACACCTATCAGAAAGGTCCATTCTTGGCCTTTTCTCCATCCCCCTGAACCATCCTCCCTTTATTATGGAAGAAATCTCTTTTGGGTTCCTCACTGTGCTTCAGTGACTGTATGTGGTGAACAGAAGAGACACGAGTTCTGCGTCCTCATTTTTGGGGTGGTCCTCCTTTGACTGAGTGGGAGATGATGGAGGTGGGAGGAGGTGTGTTGGCAGTGAGGCAGCTCCTCCTGAGCAGGTTGGAGAAGGAGGCAGCTGTTGCTGGGGTGGGGTTGCCATGGCATTGGCTTGGAAACCGCACTTTGGCAGTGGGATTTGCTGGGTGACTTGAGCATCTTGTGGAGCCCTTGCGCAACTGCCTTCTGCCATGCTAGTCCTTCACTGCCCCCGACCACGTGCTGAGCACAAGAACGTGAGATGAGGCTCTTGGATCAGGCCAATGGGGCCCGGTCTCATCCAGCCTCCTGTTCTCATGGTGGCCAACCAGATGCCCATCCACAAGCAGAACCCGAGTGCGAGAGCAACTCTCCCCAAGAGCCTTCTCCATTAATGCCCTCTTAAAGCCATCTTGGTTGATGGCCACCATGACTTACTGTGGCAGGGAGTTCCACAGGATAACTATGTATGAAGGACTTTCTTTTATCCGTCCTGAATCTCCCAACATTCAGATGGTGACGGTGAGGATGATATTAAATTTATATACTGCCCTTCATCCAAAGAGTTCAGGGCAAATTCACAAAATAAATAGTTAAAACAAAAGCAAAAACCATAACCCCATCATTGAATGTTTATGGGAGAGGAAGAAAAAACTTTTCTCCTGGACATGTGTAATTTTATAAACTTATATCATGTTGCATCTTCTCTAAACTGAAAAGCCCCAAACATGCCACCCCTCCGTTGTTTTGGTTTCCCATTTCCAAACTTTCCAAAGCTACAAAGTTCTTGACGTAAGGCAACCAGGACTGGAGAGTCTTCCAAATGGGGTTACAGCATAGATAAAACTATAATAAGTAGAAAACAAGTAAAGTGGTGATATAAATGCCCCCCCCCCAGGAGAAACTGTGGCTCGGAAGTGACTTCTCTCAGTGGCTTATGGATCTCTTCTGAAAAATCCAGAAAGGTTGCTCTGGGGCTGATCATTCTGGTGAGGAGGACCCATGGATCCGCCCCTCCTCACCTGCCGCTCTTTGGCTGCCTGGAGAAGAGTCTCCAGAGCTCAGCTGCCCCCTCTGGGGGCTCCAAGATGCTCTTTATTGCAGGCGCGCGACGCCGTTCCGCACCGCCGCAATTAAAAATGAAAAATAAAACCGAGAATGCATAAAAAATTCATAGGCCACAGCAAATTAATATCAAATCAGTGGTGTGTGCTGGTATCTGGAATTAACACTATTATGCTAATCACTAATCTGAATTCAAATTGGACAACTTGAAAGCGGAGAGGCATTAATAGCATTTTAAATCAGATTGGCTGAAACCTGACAATTTAACTACAGTCAGGTGGGCTCGACTGCCCCACTCTCTGCCTCTGCAGTTGGGGGGGGTGCAAGGAAGGAGAGCCAGGGGAAATTCTGCTGTATTTGGGGGCGGGGGAGGGCGTTGGGGAGAGGAAGCAGAGCTTCGGGCACTTCAATTCCCCGCCCCCTGCATTGGATTTTGTGTATGGGTGTGTGAATTCAAGTCCTGCAAGAAGCTTCCATTATGAACCCAAACGCTCACTGGATTCTACTTGCGACAGCCTTGTGAGGTAGGATGTAGACTCATTCACAGGGAGGGAGAGCAGGGCAGCTACTTGTGGGCACTTAGTTGGCCATTGTGGGAAGAGGAAGATGGACTAAACCTCCCCTCCATTTATTCTGACAGTCAGTAAGAGCTAATCGACAGTGCAGCCGTCTCCATTGGAAGGTGGTGGACTCTGCTTCCGTGGAGGCTTTTAAACAGAGGTTGGGGGCCATCTGTCAGGGATGCTTGAGCTGAGATTCCTGCATTGCAGGGCGTCAGGCTAGATGATCATGGTTCCAGCCAAACTTCACAATTCTATGGTCTTATGATATCCTTCCTCTTCTTTGGCGATCCCTTGTAGCCGAGTAAGATTGTCTTCCATGAACACGGTCTTAACAGTAAGTCCATAAGTGACTGTGTAGGCTAATTCTGGATCCACACGTCCTTCCTCAGTGGGGATATTGATTTCCGGGCAGGAGTTGATCATGGTGTGGATTTGCCAAGCGTGCCTTCCTCTTAGCACGTCTCTCCCTTGCGTCCTAAGTTCAAGTGTCTTCAAAGCCCAGGACACCTTTGGTCAAGGCTGTTCTCCAATTGGAGAAATCATAAGGGAGTGGACTCTCCTTCCTTGGAGGCCTTTAAGCAGATTTTGTGGGGTTATCTGTCATGGAAACTCTAGCTGAGATTCCTGAATTGCAGGGGGTCAGACTAGAGGACCCTTGGGGTTCCTGCAGCCCTGTGATTCTATGCTGCTCTTGGCTTGAGGGTTGCAGCTTCAGAAGCGAAAGATGGCCCAGGTGAGAAGGAGCAGCCTGTTATCTGGGCCTCTTGCCTCTCATCTTGAGGAGGGTTTGATCCCCTCATCCCTTGACAGAGAGGCTGAGATGTTGCCCTTGAGCCCTTCAGCCTCCCGGGCTGGAAAAGAAGCCTCTCCTCCCCGCCCCCCTGGTCTGTGCCATGCTGCCTTTTGCTATTTCTGAGCCTGCCGGCCACGAATAGCCCCACGTGTGTCTCATGGTGTAATGTGCAGGATGCTCTGAGTGACTTAGCGTAACTGGATTACACCCCGCGGATGCTCTGCGCGCTCCAACTTTGTCCCTGCAGACCCTGGGGCTTTGCCGGGTCTTACGTGTCATTGGACCGCGGCTTAGGCAGAATTAGGCCACTCAGGGGCCAACTGTCTCGCCTCGAGGAAGAGCAGGCGGCCATCTCTGAAGGGGAGGCCGGCTGGGAGACACACTCATCCCGTGGAGCAGGCGGGAGCTTCTCCCACCTCCCGGGTTCCAGAGCGTTTTGCAGGTAGCTCACCCGGAAGCTGCCTGATCAGCCACGCGCAGGAGGGGAGCAGCAAGAGACTCATTGACCTCATCCAGCAGGATGACTCTTATCCCATGTTTGTGTCCTCAAAAATGCATCCTTGCTAGGGCTGGGCAATGTCTGCTTTTCAACATTTTCTTGTTCTTTGGCAATCCCTCGTAGCCGAGTAAAATTGTCTTCCATGAGCACGGTCTCAACAGTAAATCCATAAGTGACTGTGGAGGCCAATTCTGGATCCACACATCCTTCCACAGTGGGGACATTGGTTCCTGGGTGGGAGTTGATCACGGTGTGGATTTGCCAAGCGTGCCTTCCTCTTAGCACGTTTCTCCCTTGCGTCCTGAGTTTGAGCGTCTTCAAAACCAGAAGACCTCTGTTCTCTAATTGGAGCACTCTCAGGCCAGTGTTTCCCAGTTATCAGTGCTTATACCACAGTTTTTTAGATTTGCCTTGAGAGAGTCTTTAAACCTCTTTTGTTGACCACCAGCATTACGCTTTCCATTTTTAAGTTCAGAATAGAGCTTTGGAAGACAATCATCAGGCATCCGCACAACATGACCAGTCCAATGAAGTTGATGTTGAAGAATCATTGCTTCAACACTGGTGATATTTGCTTCTTCCAGTACACTTGCATTAGTTTGCCTGTCAAGTGATGTGTAGAATTTTTTGAACACCATTGATGGAATCTTTCAAGGAGTTGGAGATGGCCTTTATAAGTGGTCCATGATATGTTGTTGTTGTTTAGTCGTTTAGATGTGTCCGCCTCTTCGTGCCCCCCTGGACCAGAGCACGCCAGGCCCTCCTGTCTTCCACTGCCTCCCGCAGTTTGGTCAAACTCATGCTGGTAGCTTCGAGAACACTGTCCAACCATCTCGTCCTCTGTCATCCCCATGATATAGCACCAGCTAAAGATCGCAATATGTTGATATATCACGATGTCTGAAATAAGGGTGGAGCTATGTAGAGGCATCGGCTGGCTTCACGGTTTTTCCTCCATCGTGATTTTTGCCAGCTTCTGCTCCTGGGATTCACTGCTCCCTGCAGGAGGCAGGGGAGAACTCAGCCGGCAGAGTTAGCAGGCTCAAGAGAAGGATTGACTCCCTCCGTGTTCCCCCCCCCCACATTGATTTTTGCATAGCACACACAAACATGCATCATGATTTGCGATATTTTGCCAGGTCAAAAATTATAAACCCTGTACCATGATCTCAAGGCAGTTTTGGGCGATGTATTGAAATATTCCCCAGCCCTAATCCTTGCTCTTCTTTGTGCAGCACAGAGTTAAACTGTGGAACTCCCTCCCACAGGAGGCAGGGGTGACCACCAAACTAGAGCTAAATTCACCAAAGAGAAGGCTTTTGATGATGACTAGTCTCAATGGCTCATCTCTGCCTCCACAGTTGGAGGCAGGAATCCTTCTGAATCTCAGTGTTGGAAACCTCTGCTTGTTGGATGGGTGATACGGAATCTGGTCATGATGCAATTAATAAAACGGAAAATAAATCCATGTCAACAATCTGCTAGGAATTTCGAGGTTACTGTCATGAGCAGTGATGCAGTTTTCTGAAATGCTTGTGCTGACCTAAACAAATTGGGATCTGAGTTACGATGTTTGATTTTTTCAGTTTAGTTGACTGAACAAGTGCACCACCCCCATTTGACCTGCTCAAAATGCCCCTCCTCCCCAAAATAGCAGTTAACTATAACTGAAATATTTGATTAAGGAGAAAGCATCTCTCCAATGCACTTAACAGTAAAATTCTATGTGCATCTTTTTAAAAGGACGTCTTGTTGAGTTTTATGGGACTTATTCTCATGGAAGTGTCTATAGGATCACAGCCTTAATCTGGTTTCTGAGTAATTTTCAGTAGATTTATCCCTTTCCTTGGAAATTAATATGCGAGTTCTTGTAAATGTTTTCAGACACGGCCAATTAGTTGCATGAGACAGAAACCTAAGGAGATCTTGCACATCATCTTAGTTTATTTTCATGCTGCCTTTCCATCGTTAAAAGCCTCAAGGTGGCTCGCAACATGAAACGATTTGCATATTTACAAAAATGGAACAAAAGCAGTCATAAGCAATAAGGGGTCTCATATCAAAATGTACACAACAAAATTAAACAATCCCCACATAAGTCATAATAAGTTCTCAAAATAAAGATATGAAAAGAAGCTGGTCTCTGGTCTCTCTGGAAGCCTCAGCACTGGCAGCTGACGTCCGTCAATCAGTCAAGGGGGCGGGGCTCTCTGCTCCACCACCCCAAAACCCTTCCTTGCATGTTTTCTAGGTTTAGGGAATTTTGCAATTATATTCTTCCCACCGGTCACCTTCCGAGTCTGGCTTACTAAAAGAACAATGAAACTGGGCCAGCACAATCTGCTGCCTGTTTGGGGCACCCGAAATGTGGGATTGGGAGGAGGAGGAGCTCAGCCCTGAGCTGGACTCTGTCCAAAGGCAGCAGGAGGGGGGGTGGAGGAGGACATCATCTTGGGGTGGGTGGACCTGTCAGTTTGGGTTTTTTTAAGTCCTCATGAAAATTCATCAGCATTTCAGTGCAGAGTTCTCCTGGTAAACACACATTTCTGCAAGCAATTTCCCCCAATGCAAAGCATTTTTCCCACAAATGCATGCACCCCCACCCCCGCCTAATACTCCGGACATGCACCTTTGTACCCCTTGCTTGGCTGGAGAAATCCAGAGAGCTGCAAATTCCAAAGGGGAGGCTGCATTTCGGTTCTTGTATTGATTTAGAAAGGGCATCTGAGGCCTGGAGAGCAGTTCTGGCGGGGCGTCCAGACCTCTCCTGGCTAAAAGGCACAAAAGGGATTTGCACAGATGTCCTCCAGAGCTTCAGGTTTTGCTGTTGTGCTTGGAGCTCTCAATTTGGAAGGGAAGGAAGCATCTCTTCCTCCTCCCCTGCCGCCCTCAATTAGGATACTATTTCTCAAGGACCAGCAGTCAGTTGAAAGGATTGTACGTGGGGGCCAGCGAGCCGTCTGCTGGTGGGGGCTGTGGAGAGATGCCTCAAACGCAGGACGCGGGGCTTGGGAGTCAACAGGCCACATTTCATTGATCACAGATGTCAGTAGGTTTGGGTGGACTGGATCCTGAATCTTCCAGCCCAGCTGGGTTAAGGCTCTCCCTATGGATAAGGGTGACCCCACAGGATTGCCCTCTGAAGGTGTGCTGTGACCCACTGAACTCTGACTGGGCATCTGGGCAGAAGCCCCTCTCCCCGGACCCCTTTAACGAGGCACCCCACATCCTTGGAGGAGAGCAGGGCTCCTTCAGGCAAGATCCAGCTCCAACTGAGCTGTCAGGTCCTGCCACAGCCTCCTTAAATGCCCCAAGAGGGGGCCGCACTGGAAGAAGGGACTGGGAAGGCTGCTTCATTCCCCAGCCCACACCCACTGGCCCCTCCGGGATTGGCTGGTGGCAGGGCAGGCACCACCAGCGTCCTCTGCTGGCCACACAAGGCGCAACAGGCTTCCCTGGTGCAGCAGAGAGCCGGTCCAGGCCACCAGCCCTGCTCTCCACGGAAGGTGGACAACCCTTCTCTGCTCTGAGGATGGAGGCTGAGTCAGGAGGAAGAGTCTTCGCCCCCACTCCGCCTGCTTGAGGGTGTTGCCAAAGAGGAGCAGCATCTCACTCGCCTCTGAGGCAGGTGGGAGTCAAGGCAGGACCCCTACCCAGCAAAGCAAGGAGAGGACCTGGAAGTGGGAGAGGTGGGCTCATGGTGGGGAAGGCGGAATTCGCCCCCTGCCCTGCAGCACGAGTGAAAGGAGAATCGGGCGCTCACAGTCTTCTGGAGAAGACTTACACTTCTGTTGATACAGCATAGCATGTTGTTGTTTAGTCGTTTGTCGTTGTTTAGTCGTGTCCGACTCTTCGTGACCCCCTGGACCAGAGTACGCCAGGCACTCCTGTCTTCCACTGCCTCCCGCAGTTTGGTCAAACTCATGCTGGTAGCTTCGAGAACACTGTCCAACCATCTTGTCCTCTGTCGTACCCTTCTCCTTGTCCCCTCCATTTTCCCCAACATCAGGGTCTTTTCCAGGGAGTCGTCTCTTCTCATGAGGAGCCTCAGCTTCAGGATCTGTCCTTCCAGTGAGCACTCAGGGCTGATTTCCTTCAGAATGGAGAGGTTTGATCTTCTTGCAGTCCATGGGACTCTCACGAGTCTTCTCCAGCACCAGAATTCAAAAGCATCAATTCTTTGGCGGTCAGCCTTCTTGATGGTCCAGCTCTCACTTCTCATAGCATAGCATGAGTTTTTTTGCAGCTGCATCACACTGTGGACTCATGTTCAGCTTGTGGTCCACCAAGACCACTAGATCCTCTTCACATGTACTGCTAGTAAGCCAAGTGCCCCCCATCCTATATTTGTGCATCTGGTTCTTCCCGTCTAAGTGCAGAACCTGACATTAGGATAGTCTTAGGTTCTTGTTTCCTTAAGGCAGGGACAGGAACAGGCAGGTCAGAAATTGAACCAACAAGCAGGTCTAGTTTCAGGCATGGAGCCCTTCCCAGCCTCCCCACCCCCCAGCTGGAGATGCTGCCAGGGGCTTCTGCAAGAAACAGAGGGGCTTCTGAATGGCTGGTATCTCTTGCCCCTCTGCGCCAAGACTCAAGTCCAGCACTTTCCCTCCTGATCCTCCACACACACTGGACCAGGGGCCACACGCTGTTCCCAAGCAGTGGTGCTGGAGGAATGCCCAGCAGAGGGGGGGGGAGAAGGAGGCAGCTGCCCCTGGCTATCACTGCCACAAGAATGTGAGAAGAGCCTGCTGGATCAGGCCAGAGGTCCGCCTAGTTCAGCATCCTCTTGGTTGGCCAGATGCCCCCAATGGGACCCCCCAAGTGTCACAGCGCTCTCCTCCTCCTCCTCTTTCTTTGCAAATCATCTTTATTGGTTTCTTTTAATTTATATTCATAGAATCACATTTTAACATATCAGTTCTCCTACGGCTAAACATGTATTTCTAAATAAGAATAAAGAAAACAAAAATAAAAATTTGTGCTTAATCGCTTGATTCATTCGTATTCCTTTTATACTTGACTTCCCTCCCCTTCTTACTTGGGTCCTCAGTTTTACTTCTTTGAATGCTTCTTTTAACACATCTGAGAGTTTGTTTTCCTGTTTTTCCACTATATTTTAGTATTGCTTTTCTTACAGAAGTTATTCTAAACCGGTCAAAATTTCAATTTCCCCATAACGGTCTTTCAAATATTGTTTGAATATGTTACAATCTTTTTCAAAAAAATTCTTTCTCTTATCTGCAAAGTCAGCTTGTCCATCTCCGCGCTCTCCTCTTTCTGGATTTCCGGCGACTGGCATTTGGAAGGACTGCTGGCTCCCTCTGTGGAGACAGAGCAGAGCGACCCTGGCCTTACCCTCCTCCTCTGTGAATTTGTCCAATCCTCTTTGCCTCCTGTGGGGGAGAGTTCCACGGTTTAACTGTGCTCTCCTTGGAGCAGGGAGAGAAGGGGAGGTGCAGGCCTGGCCTCTTCCTCCTTGCACTGGCTGGGGAGGCCTGCTGAGAGGAGAGGGGTGGGTGGGGTCCTCTCCCCCCCGCCTGCTCCCTGCGCATTATTGCTCCCCCATCAATAATTCACAGGCTGCTGCTGCTGTGGCTCCACCAAGACTCTCCGGCTGCATCCATTAGAGGAGAGAGGAGAGATGTCAGGAACCCGAGAGCCGCATCCTGGAGGTGCTGCAGCGGCTCCTGCGAAGCAGCTGACCTGGCGCTTCTCTCTCTCTCTGGCAAAACGAAAGGCTGCGGCTTCTGCTCTCCTCCCTTCCAGCCTCCACATGTTGCCACGGGGGCCTCCTCTTCATTTGCACCCCAGCCTTGGGAGGCTTCGCTGGAAGCAGATGGGCTTGGAGCTTGGAGGGCCCGATAAAAAGGCAGAGCTTCGAGAGGCCTTGATGCAGGAGGAAGCGTGCTCTCAGGCGACGTAGGTGACTTTTGCACCCGCAGAAGAAGATTGAAGAGCCTGCTGGATCAGGCCAATGGCGCAGCTTGTCCAGCATCCTGTTCTTGCAGTGGCCGACCAGAAGGCTGGAGGTGGAGCCTGGTAGCCTTGCAGAGCCCTCTCCTCCTCCTCTGTGAATTTGTCCAGTCCTCTTTTAAGCCATTCCAACTGGTATCCCCTGCGGGAGCAAGTGCCACAGTTTAATTCTGTGCTGCATGAAGAAGTCCCTCCTTTTATTTGCCCTCCCACCTTCAGCTTCATGGGATGTCCAGGAGTTCTCCGTGTTTGGAGAGAGGGAGGACACTTCCCTTCCCCCACTCCTTGTGGATGGTGTCCTGCTGGAGACTCGGCTCCTACCAAGCTGCCCTTCAGAGCTTTCTGGAAAAGTTTCTTCTTCCCCTCTCTCTCGCAACCACCCCCCATGCCCTTGCAAAGAGAGGGAGCCCACCTTCAACCCCTGTGAGACTTGCCTTGGTCTCTGTTTCCTGGATCTCCCCCTCCCAATATGATTTAGATTAGGCCTGTGGGAAGCTGCCTTATCAGACCAGACCAGGCTCTGGGTCCAGCTCCCTGACACAGGCTCTTGGGGGGTGGAGTTGGAAGGGACCCCAATGGTCATCTCTTCCAAGCTCCTGCAGTGCAGGAATCACAGCTACAGAATTCTTTCCATCACCTGTCCCCCTTTGGATCCGCAAGCAAACCATGCCTTCTGCCATTGAGCTCTGGTCTCTTCCTCTGGGCTTCTCCCTTGGGAGAATGGAGGCTGGGCTGGGCAGAGACCTTTCTTAGAGGGACAAACAAACACAGACATATCTTCTCAGTGAAGCCTGGGGTGAGCCTTAGAGGGAGAGGCCCTGTGCGTTGATGGTGCGGCGTAAGAAGTGACGGCAGTGCTGGGGTTAATCCAACGTGGAGCAATTCAGGAGTTGATGGATGGCTTGCAACTTTTCTCGGAGCTTTCCAGGAAAGGTGGGGGTGGCATCTCTGAGCCACTTTGCTTCCAAGCTTGCATAGAACTTGTGTGCCTATTGATCTCTTCCATCTTTGGTCTTGCTACTAAAGGATTCTCAAGGCAGCTCATGATAAATGCCCATAAAATATTAACACTGGATAATTAAAACAATACACAAGCAGCAGGATAAATATACGTGGAGGTCCAGGGAGAGAGCCGCCCACCCCTCTTCTGAAACAAAGATGTCTGTTCCGGAGGGAAGGAATGATCTGCTCTTTCTCCTCTCTCACTTACAACCGCCCCCCCCCCAAGAAGAGACTCTGAGCAGCGATTCTCCTCAAGGTCTCCGCAGAGTAAAGGAGTCTGGCTTCACTGAGATGCAGAGGGTGCTAAAAGAAACACTAAGGCTCTCTCCTCACTCCAGATCCCAACGATGGAAGACTCAGGGCAGGCCAGAGTCCTCTGTCAGGGATGCTTGAGTTGTGATTGAGGGAGGGGGTTGGACTAGATGACACGTGGGATACCTTCCAACTCTACAGTGTTGTGATTCCCATGGTGCAGGGTTAAACCCTGGAATGTGCTCCCAGGTGTGGACAGATTCATGGAGGAAGAGGAGGAGGAGGAGGAGGAGGAGGAGGAGAGGGCTAACAGTGGTCACTATCCAGGATAGCTCTGCTCTGCAGTTGGAGACAAGTCAGTGGTTCTGCATACAGTGGTACCTTGCTTCTCAAACTTAATCTGTTCCGGAAGTCCGTTCCAAACCAAAGCGTTCCAAAACCAAGGTGCGCTTTCCCATAGAAAGTAACACCAGACTTTTAAAAACAACCCCTAAAACAGCAATTTAACATGAATTTTACTATCTAACGAGACCATTGATCCATAAAATGAAAGCAATAAACAATGTACTGCAGTCACACAATCAACCAGTCAGTAGCTGAACTGGGTTCCACACAGTCACAAGAACAAAAAAAAAAGAGGGGGCACAAAAAACAAAAACGCAAAATAAATAGCAAAAACAGACAGACCTCAGCGTAACACTCAAAATGGAAGCGTAACATTCAAAATGGAGCACATTCAGCTTCCAAAAAAAGTTTGCAAACTGAAACACTTACTTCTGGGTTTGCAGTTTTGGGGTTCCAAGTTGTTTGAGTACCAAGGCGTTTGAGAACCAAGGGACCACTGTACACGGGTTAGCGGAAACCACAGGAGAGGAGAGGGAGGCTCATGGGCCCGGATTCCGCTTGCAGGTTTCCCTTGGGGCATCTGGGTGGCTACTGTGAGCCCAGGACCCTGGACTGGATGGGCCCCCTTTGGCCTGATCCAGCAGGCTCTTCTGGTGCCCTTAGGTTTATTCTCAAAATCCCTTTCCATTTTAATTAAGCCCCCCCCCCCCGAAGATAGGCTATTCTGTGGTCGCAGGCGGCTCACCCTGTCAGCCTCATCTGCCTTTTCCTTTGCTCCCCGACTTGTGACTCTGGAAGGGCAGGCCAGGAGGGGAGCCTCCAAGCAAATTGGCGCCTGCCATCCGTTTGAGCTGTCTTGGCTGCAGCAACGAGAGCAACTGGCTGCTCAACATTTTAATTAAGCTTACAAGGTGAAAATAAAATGAAAAAGCTGAAAGGAGCAAGTAGCATTGAGGAGTTGTACAGTTCAGTTCCCGTGTCTTAGCTGTGAGGGTGCGAAGGAGGGAGAGAGCCCAATGAAGCTGAACGTTGGAAGATTCAGGAGAGAGGAAGGGAAGTCCTTCTTCACAGAGTTCAACCGTGGAACTCCCTCCCACAGGAGCCAGGGGTGGCCACCAACCTGGGTGGCTTGAAAAGAACATTGGGCAAATTCATGGAGGAGAAGGAGAGGGCTTTTGATGGCCACCAGCCAGGATGTTCTGCTTTGGCTCCACAACTGGAGGCAGCAATGCTCTAAATCCCAGTTGCTGGAAGCCACAGGAGGGGAGAGTTGCTCTTGTGTTCAAGTCCTGCTTGTGGCTTGAGGCAACTGGCTGGCCGCTGTAAGAACAGGATGCTAGACTAAGTGAGCTGTGGGCCTGATCCTGCAGGCACTTCTTATCCCTGGCAAGAGATTGGCCAGCCTCTTGTTCTTGGGGTCTTGTCCTTATGGGGTCTTCGCTGCGAGATCATATTCACCCGGTGCTATACCAGCTGCACTGGCTCCCGGTGGAGTACAGGATCAGGTTTAAGGTGCTGGTTTTAACCTTTAAAGCCCTATACGGCCTAGGACCCTCGTACCTACGGGACCTCCGCTCCTGGTATGCCCCACAGAGAAACTTACGGTCTTCAAATAAAAACATCTTGAAGGTCCCAGGCCACAGAGAAGTTAGGCTGGCCTCAACTAGAGCCAGGGCTTTTTCGGCTGTGGCTCCAATCTGGTCCCAAGAGACTAGGGCCCTGTGGGACTTGACATCTTTCCGCAGGGCCTGCAAGACAGAGCTGTTCCACCAGGCCTTTGGCCAGGGCACAGCCTGACTCCCTCCTTCAGCAGTCTTCCGGAGCTCTGGCCCAATGGTTGCCATTGGTTTGATTTGAATCAATTTTATAATGAATGATTTTAGAGTGTTGTGTTGTGTTGTACTGTTGTACTGTTTTATTGTTGTTAGCCGCCCTGAGCCCGGCTTCAGTTGGGGAGGGCAGGATATAAATAAAATTTATTATTATTATTGGGACAGGCTCTTCCATAGCTGAGCATCTCGTATCGGGAGGAGTTGACATTCGCTTCCCTGTTGCAAGACCCACCAGTTTGGGGTCAGGCCTGACCTTTGGAGCAATGGAGAGCAGGATCCTGCTCCCTCTTTAGCTCTTCCAGGGCAGCTGCCAGGTCCCCTTTTCACTTTCACCTGAATCATCACCATTGTTTATTTGTGAGCTGCCTTTCCATAGCTAAATCCTTTCAAAATGGAGAGATTCAAAACAAATGAATCAAAACAAACACAGCAAAATTAAAACACTCCCCACGTGAGTCGTAAAAGGATTGAAAAATACAGATGCAAAAAATAATAATACCAATAGCAGTGAAATTAGCATCTCCAGAGTTCAGTCTTGACCCCAAGAAAACACCCTAAACAACACCCCACCCCGAGAGTCTGCAGGCGTCCTGAGAAGAAGGTCTTTCAGGGCTCACAAGTAAGAGGGCCTCTGTGGAAGCCTCAGCTCCTGTAGCTGGAATCAGTCCGTCTGTCGGTCCAGCCACCATCTGTCAGGGCCCAGAGCCCTCCCTTGCCAGGTGTCTCAAGAGGCTCGCAAGGCAGGGAGCCAAGAATCTTCTCCACTCTGGACCTCCCCAGCTCCTCCAGCCTCCGTCCTGGTCTGCCTGCTCCTTATAATGTGGATTTCCGTGTGTCTCGGACTCCAAACCAGCCTGGTCAGCGTAGAAGACTGTGTGTGTCTGTCTGCTGGAGACTCTGTTCCCACCCAAGCAGCCTTGGGTTGCCTTTGTCCTTTCAGCCACCTCCTGGTGACCTGCTCAGGTCAAAGACCCTCCTGGCACCTCCTGCTTGCTGAGCTTGCAGCTTCTGCTTCCAGCAATGGGGCCTTTGGCTCTTGGGACCGAGGTCCAGGGTTTATTTTAAAGGGAGGATGTCATCTCCCTAGTGCTGGCCCAGCCTTCCAGCCTGTCAACATCATTTTCCATCTCTGTCAAATCTGTAAGCGTTTCTGACTTTTTCCTGTCATCCGTTAACATTTTGCCGTTTCCCCCTAAGCGTCAAACTTCACCTTCCATTGACATCCTCCTCCTTACTCCACACAGAGCTGGGGAAACCCATTTCTATTGTTTTCTACGCCCCTTGCCAATCTCAGCTCCTTCTGGGAAGACAGGGCTGCTGCTGCTGCTACTGCTCTTACACTCGGGCCCTCCTTGCTTTTGGGTTCTCCGTGGGGGCTTCTGGTAGGTCTCTGTGAGAGCCTCAGGCTGGACATTGTAGTCTGCTATTCTAGGCTGCATCAGCAGGAGGTTGGAATAGATAACCCTCAGGCTTCCTTCAAACAATACAATTCTATGATTCTAGTGTCCCAATCAACAGAAGCAATAGTACCGCTCTATTCTGCCCTGGTCAGGCCACACCTGGAATACTGTGTCCAGTTCTGGGCACCAGAATCTAAGAAGGATGTTGACAAGCTGCAAGGTGTGCAGAGGAGGGCGACCAAGAAGATCAAGGGTCTGGAAACCAAGCCTGATGAGGAACGGTTGAAGGAGCTGGGTATGTTTTGCCTGGAAAAGAGGAGACTGAGAGGAGATAGGAGAGCCATCTTCAAATATCTCCTGCTCTGGAGGGTAGGACTCGAGGCAATGGATTTAAGTTCCAAGAACAGAGATTCTGACTAAAGATCAGGAAGAACCTTCTGACAGCAGGAGCTGTTCCATAGTGGAACGGTTTCCCTCGGGAGGTTGTGGACTCCTTCCTTGGAGGTTTCTAAGCAGAGGCTGGATGGTCACCTGTCAGGGATGCTTTTGCTGCCTTGCAGGGGGTTGGACTGGATGACCCTTAGTGTCCCTTCCAACTCTATGGTCTATGATTCTGCGCCTGACCCTTCACCCGCCACTTCCTCCGTGGATGCAAGTGCAGGATAGCAGAGTTCCAGGTGTTCATTCTTTCCTCCTCGGCTTGAGAGATGAGGTTGTCAGCAAGGCATGGATTTATGGGGTGATCTGCTCCCGGCAGAGTTAGATTTCCAGCAGATGCCAGGATAGCTGAAAGCCCCCATCACTACAGTTCTTATCTGCAAAAGTTCAGTCATCTGTTTCAGGAGAGTTCCTCCTCGTCTTCTGGCTGGCTGACAGGAGATGCCTGTCCGCTCTGCTGTCCTCAGATGTCTCGAATTCCCCTAACTAACGTGTTCTAATTGTTATTTTAAGAATTCCCCTCCTCCCTTTTGTACACTGCTTTGACCTTTCTAATACGAAGCAATTAATGAGTTGTGCAAATAAACGAATCAAGCAACTAAACCTTTAGGTTTCAATTAGAAATGCAAACAATCTTGCAAAGGAGTTGAGCTGCTAGCATGAAGCAGGAACCTCATCAAAGGGGAGAAACAGGCAACAGGTTTTTCTTGGTTACAGTGGTACCTTGGTTCTCAAACTTAATCCGTTCCACAAGTCTGTTCCAAAACCAAAGCGTTCCAAAACCGAGGCCCGTTTTCCCATATAAAGTAATGCAAAACAGATTAATCCGTTCCAGACTTTTAGAAACAACCACTAAAACAGCAATTTAACATGAATTTTACTACCTAAAGAGACCATTGATCCATAAATAAAAGCAATAATCAATGTACTGTACTATAAAATAAATAAGACAGTATTGTAGACGATGAAAATTAAATTATTATTATTTTCTTCCTTGCTCTGATGCTAGTCATTGTTTGGAGGGGGGACTTTTATCCATTTCCGCAGTCACACAATCTGTCAATCAGCTGAACTGGGTTCCACACCGTCACAAAAACAAATTAACCGAAAAAGCCTCAAAAACAAAAACGCAAAATAAATAGAAAAACCAAAAGCGCCAAATACAGTGGTACCTTGGTTCTCGAACGCAATCCGTTCTGGAAGTCCGTTTGACTTCCGAAATGTTCGAAAACCAAGGGGCAGCTTTTGATTGGTGCAGGTGCCCAATAGCCATCAGATGTTTGGCTTCTGAAAAAGGTTTGGAAACCAGAACACTTCCTTCCGGGTTTTTGGTGCTTGGGAACCAAGGTACCCACTGGGTGGAGGGGGGACTCTCTCCCGTCTGCTGCTGGGAGGAAGAGCAAGTGCTCCTGTCTGGAATCTGTTTGCAAGGAGTTGTGTAGGGAACAGGAAAAGGATAGTTAGCTGGACTTTATTTCCATGCCGCCTTCTGGCCAGAAAGGACTCCCAAGGCAGCTCTCAAGGAGCAGAAGATAAATAAAACGGAAGCAGTAAAATGCAGCTTATAGAAATCTGGGGTAAAATCCGAACATCTCTTCCCCCCCCCCCCCCCGGGCAAAATAAGGTCACTCTTCCCAAATGCACACAATACTCTTCCTGAGGACAAAAGCATTTATGAATGTAAGAAGAGTTTCCTGGATCCGGCCAGTGCCCATCTAGTCCAGCCTCCTGTTTCTGTGTCTGGAGCCTCGCTGCCAATGGCTCGCCTTCCCCAGGGTCAGAGAAATTGGGGGCCTTTTCCTCAAGGATGCGCTTCAACGTCACCCTTGGAAGTCCGAATTAATGCAAAAGAATATTCTCCGCGGAAAGGCGTAAATGGTTTTATTCCAAAAATTTATGGTGCCTTCCCAGAACGACCTGCCTCCCTCAATGTTCAGGGCTGCTGGGGAAAGGGAACAAGTTTAATTGGTACATTTATAGTCCTGGACTGCCTGGCTCTCCGCGAAGGAGCCCAGCCACTTTCTTTCCAACGCAACGTATAAATTGGAGCAATATTGGATTCTGCAGAGAAGAGATTACCCTCTCAGCTGCCTATAAAAATGAATTTGTTTCTGTAAGCTTTTTCCCTTTGTCCAGTGGACACAAGAGTCTCCTGGGCGTCTGTGATGGAGGCAGCAAAAGACCCATCAGTGGCATTGCTCGGCCTCTGGGCTCCTGACACCCTCTGGATGTGGGGCAGGGGCAGACTGTCCCCCATCAGGGCAGGCCGTGGGGGTCCTTGTCTGGGGGCTGGGAGGCCGAGCCCTCTGGACATGAAGGGAGTTGGCAGAGGTTGCACGCTGACATTTCCTAAACCACAGAGAGCATTTTAATATGTTTTATATCCTGCCTTTTCAACAAAACAGTTTGCAAGGCGGCTAATGTTAAGTGCACAGAACCATGCGGGATGGAAATAATTAAACGGAGGCAGAAGAAAATCAGCAGCAAAGTAATCTTCAGCCGTCATAAAGAAAAAAAGCACAATCTCCTTCCAATAAAATAGTTTTAACTTGGAAGGAAAGCGAAGTTGGAGCCAAGGAAATTTATCTGGGGGGAAGGGCGATTGCACGGCTTGGATCTTCATCTTGCCTGTGGTTTTAGACATGTGCTCCTAGGATTGCAGAATTGGGAGGGACCCCAACGGTCATCTAGTCCAACCCCCTGGAAGGCGGGGGTCAAAGCTGTTTCACCTCTGCGGATGGTTGAGGGGGAGCCAGGAGCTGCCGGGAGACACGAGTTTGGGATGATGGCAAAAACATTGCAGGGGGTCATCTCAATGGTCCTGAGGGTCCCTTCTAAATCTTCAATTCTATGATTCTATGAAAAAAAAAAAGGACTGAACTCCAGAGGGGCCTCTCCAAAATTGAGGAATGGGCAATAAACCAGCAAATAAACCAGCAAAAATGGAAGGGTTGCTGAACACAAATCCGGACACAGAAGTTGAACTTTTTTGGGGGGAGGCAAAGTTATTGAGCTATTTTTAAGGAAATTTGCCAAAAAATTCAACCCTTCTGGCATGGGTTGCCATATGTCTGGGTCTATAAGGACATTTTTACCGATTTTTTGAAATTTCACCCGGACGTTATTTCCAATGGACAATAAACACTGGAAATTTTGCTGATTCAGTGTTGATTCCCACCAGGATCTGTTACATTGTGTTAGTACGCATGTTGGGAATCCGTGTTACCTGCAGACATTTGCACAATGTAACAACTTATGTTCTAGCTTTGAGCTGTATCTTTTTGATTCACATATTACATGGGTCGGCAAACTAAGGCCTGGGGGCCTGATCTGGCCCAATCACCTTCTAAATCCAGCCCACGGATGGTCTGGGAATCAGCATGTTTTTACATGAGTAGAATGTGTCCTTTTATTTAAAATGCATCTCTGGGTTATTTGTGGGGCATAGGAATTTGTTCATTTTTCTTCTTCAAAATATAGTCTGGTCCCCCACAAAGTCTGAGGGACAGTGGACCAGCCTCCTGCTGAAAAAGGTTGCTGACGCCTGAATTAGCTGTATTCCTGCCCCAAATTGGGCGGAGGCAACTTGGAAGATCACCAGTTTCATAAAGCAACAGGTTACCATAACTTTTCTATTAGAAGCGCACTCAAGGATTTCCAGGGGTACACATGACCACATTAATGGTGGCCCTTTGGGCCACTGCCATAATATTTCTTCAGCTGCCACTGGTGCCTGCCTCCTAGTTTCCTGCCAAACTCCTGCAACTTTCCTGCTGCAAATGCTCCACTTCTTTTGGTCTTGTTGGTCGTCCTGCTTTTAATGTGCTTCAGCACAAGATCACCTTTGCAAAACACACAGGTTCTTTGTGATGGAGCCACCCCCAATTTCCCATTGCTGGAAACCTCGGGAGGGGAGAGGGCTCTTGTGGTAGACCTCTGTGAGAACAGGCTGCTGGGCTGGATGGGCCCCTTTGGCCTGATCCTGCAGAGCTGTGCTTGCCTTCTTCGGTTCTGCAGATGCCCTAATGCCTGCATTCCTGTTGTGCCTGGATTTAAGCAGTGGTCTAGAACAGCAATCACAGCCAGAACATAAAAGCGTCAAATTCTATGATTCTATGGGGGGGGAAGGACATTATGGTGGCCTGGCTGGTGTCATAATGCAACTAACTTTTGCCGCAGGGGAAGGTGGGATTTGTGGATGGGACACAGACAATGGGATGGGCAGAGTTATATGAAGATGATAGTTGATTGATTGATTTATACTTGGCCCATCCGGCTGGGCCTCCTCAGCCACTCTGGGCGGCTCCCAACAAAATAGTAAAAATACAATAAAACATCAAAGAATCATAGCATTGTAGAGTTGGAAGGGACCTTGAAGGTCCTCTAGTCCAACCCCTGCAATGCTGGCATCTCAGCTAAAGCATCCCTGACAGATGTCCCTCCAACCTTGGGGTGAAGTGGAGCTGCAATAATGCAAGAGGGCACCTGGAAAACTTTGTTCAGCCTGGACTGGCAGGACCTCTCCGGGGGTTCAGGTGGGAGTCTTGGCTGGAGATGCTGTGTGGGGGGGGGGTGAAGCTGGGACCTTTTGCGCAGGGAAGGGGGAGCCAGCTTGTTTTCTGCTGCTCCACACGGGAGGACACATTGGATTTCAGTGGCAAGAAAGGAGATTCTAGTGGGGGTTGCCATGTGTCCTCTTTTTCCAGGATATGTCCCCCTTTTCAGGAGTAAAATCTCTGCCTGGGTGGATTTTTAAAATTTACCAAAATGTCTCTGGCTATACTTTCTGGAGGAGATGTAGACACAACTGGTGGCTGAAGACTTGCTTTCCTCTTCCCTTCCCCTGCCCCCTCAGCAATATTTCACAGCTTCTATAGCCTACATATAAAAGGAGAGTTGTCATAGCGTCCTCTTTTTTGCTCTTCAAAATGTGGCAACCCAAGTTCTGATCTTATTTCTTGAAAGTTTTAAAGAGGTGTTTTTTTAAAAAACCTGATAATGTTATTGTCGTATTCAGCTTGTAAACCAGTATGAGGTCTTTGTAGTTTTGGGGGGGGGTTTTGCAATCAAGTGGTGTATACATTTTATGAAATAATAAATACACAAATAGCTGTTCCATAGTGGAAGAGACCACCTTGGACTCTCCTTTGCCGGAGGTTTTTATGCAGCGGTCAGACGACCCCCTGATACGGATTCTTTAGCTGTGTTCAGGGGGGAGGTCCAGATGGCCCTCGGGGTTCACTTCCAACAATTCCACGCCTCTACGAAACAAATTGCACCGGTGGGGCTGTGTGTGGGACTCGAACCCGGTGCTCCCCATGTAACCCCTCTCCTCTCTCTCTCTCTCTCTCTCAGCATCCTGACCCCGCTCTACAATGGAAAAACTGCTTCTGTATCTGCTCTTCATTGGCATAGCGGCGAAGGCTCAGATCTGTCCCAAGCGCTGCGTCTGCCAGATCTTGTCCCCCAACCTCGCCACCCTTTGCGCCAAGAAGGGCCTCCTCTTTGTGCCCCCCAACATCGACCGGAGGACCGTGGAGCTGCGGCTGGCCGACAACTTTGTCACCAGCATCAAGCGCAAGGATTTTGCCAACATGACCAGCCTGGTGGACCTGACCCTCTCGCGGAACACCATCAGCTTCGTCACCCCGCACGCCTTCGCTGACCTGCGCAACCTGAGGGCCCTGCACCTGAACAGCAACCGGCTGACCAAGATCACCCACGACATGCTGAGCGGGCTTCTCAACCTGCACCACCTGATCCTCAACAACAACCAGCTGACGCTGATCTCCGCCACGGCCTTCGACGACGTCCTGGCGCTCGAGGAGCTGGACCTTTCCTACAACAACCTGGAGACCATCCCCTGGGACGCCGTGGAGAAGATGGTCAGCTTGCACACCCTCAGCCTGGACCACAACATGATCGACAGCATCCCCAAGGGGACCTTCTCCCACCTCCACAAGATGACCCGCCTGGATGTCACCTCCAACAAGCTGCACAAGCTGCCCCCCGACCCCCTCTTCCAGAGGGCCCAGGTCTTGGCCACCTCAGGGATCATCAGCCCCTCCACCTTCGCCCTCAGCTTTGGCGGGAACCCCTTGCACTGCAACTGCGAGCTGCTATGGCTGCGGCGCCTCTCCAGGGAGGACGACCTGGAGACCTGCGCCTCCCCGCCACTCCTCTCGGGCCGCTATTTCTGGTCGGTCCCCGAGGAGGAGTTTCTGTGCGAGCCGCCGCTCATCACGAGGCACACCCACGAGCTGAGGGTGCTGGAGGGGCAGAGGGCCATCCTGAGGTGCAAGGCCCGCGGGGACCCCGAGCCGGCCATCCACTGGATCTCACCCGAGGGCAAGCTGATCTCCAACGCCACGCGCTCGCTGGTCTACGACAACGGGACCCTCGACATCCACATCACCACCATGAAGGACACGGGCTCCTTCACCTGCATCGCCTCCAACCCTGCCGGGGAGGCCACGCAGTCGGTGGACCTGCACATCATCAAGCTGCCCCACATCATCAACAGCACCAACCACATCCACGAGCCGGACCCCGGGTCCTCGGACATCTCCACCTCCACCAAGTCCGGCTCCAACGCCAGCAGCAGCAGCAGCAGCAGCAACGGGGAGGCCAAGGTCAGCCCCGACAAGAAGGTGGTGGTGGCCGAGGCCACGTCCTCCACCGCCCTCCTCAAGTTCAACTTCCAAAGGAATATCCCCGGAATACGCATGTTCCAAATCCAGTACAATGGGACGTATGACGACTCGCTTGTTTACAGGTAAGGAGCCCCAGACAAGTTTGGCCCGTCACCTGCTCCCTTCGCTGGGGGAAGGCTTTTCCTTTTGCCTCTTCTTGGCTCTTGGGGGGTCAGGTGGGCTCAGCAGGAGATGTGGAGAAACCCTCTTCATTCAGGTCTTGCCAGCGCCAAATTCAGGACAGTGTGGGACTGGACGAAGGAGGAATGATGGAGACCGACTCGCCCTCCTGAGTCTTCCAGGTAAGAGGAAGACAGTATAGATTTACAGCGGTAGTTTGAGGAAGATCATGGCTCAGAGGGAGACAAAAAGCAAAGTTAGGAAATAATGGGAGAGGAAGTGGGGGGGGAAGCAGATCCGGAGCAGCTGGATGACTCATTATCACTAGACAGCATTCCAGGCCCCCCTTTTCCCAGAACCCGGCGGGCAGTGAAAGTAGGAGAGCAAAGGCTTGTAACCAAATGGCCTTAAGCAGCAACTGTAAGGTGGGTGGTGCTGTTGGCGATTGAGGAGAGAAGGGGGGGTGGAGATTGCTCAGAGCAACGCCATTGCTCCAAGAGGTATCATTTCTAAGCCTCCCTCTGTGAATATTGAATAAAAGCCATTGGTAAGAGCTTCCTTGTCTTATCTATTCCTGCCAGCCTGCCGTCGGGGATCAGATTCCTTGACGCCTGGCAGCAGGTGGCTTCCCTGAACAGGGTGCTGAGCCAAGGGGGCACAAAATCCAGAAGATCCAAAACTGAGATGATCCATTGGTGGAGGGGGCAAATTTTGGCCTCACACAGAGAGCCATATTACAAAAGATTACCAAAGTCCAGCGGCATAGCTAGCTGCTTGGGGGCCCCTGTGCCCAGGGTGGGGTGGGGTAAGCCAGGGCAGGGCGCGCTGCGTGGAGCCTCCCTGGAGTCTGCCCCCCGTCTCCCCCTCAGCTGTAGGGTGGCTGAGGGGGAGGTGGTGGGCAGACACAAGCCCCACGGTGCCGTTTTGGGCAGCGCGGAGCCTGCAGGCACCCGAGCCCTTTGTCGCCCCCAGGAGAGATGCGTGACCCAGAACATCTCCCCCCCGCTACACCTCTGCCCAAGTCCCCCCCCCCCCCCGGTCTTGCAAGACGTCTCCCCGCAGGCATTTGGGAACAGACTGCTTTTAACAAAAAGGCTGGCGCTGTGCCAGTTTAATTGTAATTACTGGTGTGGCTTCCATCGTTGTTATCTATGCGCTTAGTTTTAACACTGGCAGTGTTTAATTGTTTTTTAAGGATTGCTTTCCACCTCGCGCTTTTAGAAGTCTTTATTTTTATCTGTATGCCACCTGACAACAATCGAATGCAGAGCCCTGGAAGTGCAAGTATACAAAACGCAGTTTATGGAAGTCAATCAAAAAATGACAGAATTCAGCAATTTGGGCAAATGGAGAATAAAGGCAATATTACCATTCCGAAAAAGCAATCTGGGCTTAGGTACATGGAGACACAGCAAGACATGAGTTAACCAACAGTCATGTTTCTGGCCCTGATTTAGCTGCCCTCCAAGGAGCCTGGCTTCAAGGCAAGGGAGAGGTAGCTGGTCTGCAGCTGGCTCCCATAGCCTTACTCCCGAGGAGGCTGGCAGCAGCAAAGGGCAAATGTCCAGAAGGGCAAGGAAGGCAAGTCTCTCTCCCAGCCTCCTAATATATAAAATAATAATAATAAATTGCCCAGTAGCACCTTAGAGACCAACTAAGTTTGTTCTGGGTATAAGCTTTCGTGTGCATGCACACTTCTTCAGATACACAGAAACAGAAGTCACCAGATCCTTCTATATAGTGGGAGGGTGGGGTGGGGTTTTTCTCAGGAGGGGAACAGGAGATGGGTGATTGACTCAGTGGGTATGGTAAACCTGTGACTGTTAATGACTGCGATTAGTCCTACAGGAAAAAGCAAGGGATAGTATGTAGATGATTAGCATATATAATGAGACAGGAATCCAATATCTCTATTAAGACCAGATCTCTCCATAGTTTTCAGTTTAGTGATAAGTTGTAATTCAGCAACTTCTCTTTCAAGTCTATTTCTGAAATCCTTCTGTAATAAGACAGCTGCTTGGAGATCCTGTATTGAATGGCCTGGGAGACTGAAGTATTCTCCTTCTGGCTTCTCTGTCTTGTGATTCCTGATGTCAGATTTATGTCCCTTTATCCTTTGGCGTAGGGTTTGGCCTGTTTGTCCAATATAGAGAACTGAGGGGCACTGTTGGCATTTGATGGCATACACAATGTTAGAAGATGAGCAATTAAATTGGCCTGAGATGGTATGTTGGATGTTGTTGGGGCCAGTGATGGTGTTGTCTGGGTGTCTGTGGCAGCAAAGTTGGCATCTGGGTTTATCGCAGGCTCTGGTACCAGTGTCCATGTTAAGTCTGGTTGCTGTATTATTGTGGGAGAGGAGTTGTTTAAGACTGGGTGGCTGTCTGTAGGCGATGAAAGGTCTTCCTCCCAGAGCTTGAGAAAGAGAACTGTCATTGTCTAGGAGAGGTTGTAGATCTCAGAGGATGCGTTGAAGTGTTTTAACTTGGGAGCTGTATGTGATTACTAGTGGTGTTCTGTTATTTTCTCTTTTGGATCTGCCTTGCAGCAAGTTCTCTCTGGGGATCAGTCTGGGGATCAGCCTCCTGGAAGTCTCCACTGCAAGTCTCGTTGCATTTCAGGGAGTTTTGTGGGGGGTTAGGAAAGTGAGGTGAAAGAGTAGCCAAATATGCACACCTGAAATATGTTCAGTGTTCTCAGCCCAGTCCTCTGGGACTCTCTGCCACTGGAGACTCAGCAGGGACCTTCTGTGCCAGCTTCTAAAAGCCTGCTGAAAACCTTCCTATTCTATTCCTCTCGGCCTCTGCAGGCCATTAAAACTGCAACCTTCCACAACATTTTGTTGATGTCTGACTTTTTGTTTTATTTTGTTGTGGTTTTTATGGGATGGTTTTATGGTTTTATTGGTGTAAACCACTTTGATATTTTGTATGGCACAGCAGTACAAATATTCTTCATAAATAAGATGTCTGATGGTGGGAAATGTAGTTCATTTCAATTTTTATTTGGATACTGCCTTTCTGTATCTCTGCACACGAGATGCTTGCAAGCAGCAAAGAAAAAAACATAAGCAGCAAAGATCAGACATCTCAAAGCAATCTGATCCAATGCAGATAAGAATATGACCTTCACATAAACAACTTATATCAAATAAAGAAATAGCAAATAATGCATTTAGAATGTAATAGCAGCTAATACAGTGGTACCTCAGGTTACATACGCTTCAGGTTACAGACTCCGCTAACCCTGAAATAGTACCTCGGGTTAAGAACTTTGCTTCAGGATGAGAACAGAAATTATGCTCCGGTGGCAGCAGGAGGCCCCATTAGCTAAAGTGGTGCTTCAGGTTAAGAACAGTTTCAGGTTAAGAACGGACCTCCAGAACGAATTAAGTACATAACCAGAGGTACCACTGTAATGAAATAGAAATTCACCCTCAACAATTGCAATAAATCATTACTATATTATAATCAATAAAAATAACAGTGAGTCAGAATGTATAAAATGCCACAATACACAAAAGATGTAAAAGGACTGAATTGATCAACAAAGTCAAATAACTAATTTTTAATTTTTTAAAAAAAACCCATCAACATCTGGCATGCCAGATTTCCCCAGACCTGCTTGAAATGTGTTGCAACCAAAGTGTGGCCTCAAAGAGGGGACTGGCTCTTTGTACTTTGCCTTGAGTCCCATCAGGGGAAAAGGCTGAGTCTGAATAAATATGTAATGTACAAAAACAGAGAGGTGAGGGTTGAGGGAGTCAGATAAACTTCTAGATTTGGTTTGAATTAATTGTGCAGAAGTCCCTTTGCCACAATGAGCCTGTGGCCAAAGCAGCTGGCGATCACCGTTCAAAACATCTTATAGGAAGTGCAGAGCAGGTCAGTAAATTCAGGAATGACAGAAATCACGAGCTCTCCCAGGGTTAGATTCCGACGAAACATTAGGTAGACCTTTCCGACATTGAGAGCCAGGGCCAGATGGAGGTTTGATGAGGCCCTCAGCTCCTGAAGGTAATGGGGCCCTTGATAGTCTGTGGTAGATCACTGGTAGTTCACTGGCTCCCTGCAAAGAAGCTCACCAACCTAAAAAACAGGGCTTTCCTCCTCCCTAAAAAAGCTCAACAATTTTGACCTGAACCCCAAAAAAGGGGGTAGATCACTGCCAGTTTTTAAGGGGGTAGATCACTGCCAGTGAGTAGATCGCAGCCTCTTGGGGGTTGGCCACCCCTGCTATATGGTAATTGATGGAACTAATAGGTATCTAAAACCATTTGCACATGCAGAATGTAGGCACCCTCTATATAGAAAGGAGCAAACCAGTGATATTTGAGGGAGCAGGCTAGCAGGCGGGGTCCATGACTTACATCATAGGAGCCTCCACAACACAAAACACTGTTGCTGTAGGTAGGTTTTATTTTAGTTGTTTTTTATCTTGGGTTACCTTGGGTGACAGATGCTTCAGGTTACAGACTCCGCTAACCCAGAAATAATACCTCGGGTTAAGAACTTTGCTTCAGCTAATTAGCTAAAGTGCTGCTTCAGGTTAAGAAAAGTTTCAGGTTAAGAACGGACCTCCAGACCGAATTAAGTTCTTAACCGGAGGTACCACTGTATTTTGGAAATGTACATCCAGGTTTTTTTCCTTAAGTTTTTTGGGGCCCCCAAGAGAGTGGGGCCCTAAACTAGAGCTTGTTTAGCTTATATGTAAATCTGGCACTGGTGAGAGCTGTTTGATGGCGGGACGGATTCCCTTGGGAGGTGGTGGACTCTCTTTCCTTGGAGGTTTTCAAACATCGGTTGGGCAGCCGCCCATCAGGGACCCTTGAGCTGTGATTCCTGCATTGCAGGGGGCTGGACTAGAGGACCCTTGGGGTTCCCTTCCAGCTCTGCAGCTCTTTGATTCTCCACAAGCAGCAACCAGCCTCCAGGCAGGAGAAAAGCCAAGGCCTTTTGCAGCCATCAGGTTTGATTTGCGCTTTATTTTTGGCTCATCCCTGCTGACCTTTAATCCTTCAAGGTAATCTGATTAGCGCAAGGATTGGAAAGTTAGCCCTGCTCAGGAGACACTAACACCCTCTGTTTGGGGGAGGGAACGACAGGGGAAAAGGATATCCATGAATTATTTTTTATTTATATATACCCACGGATGAATGATGGAAGAGCGTGTGGACAAGGTCTTGGATTTGCTAAGTGGATTTGCTTTGAAGCCTCCTAATGGAGCAGTCACACCTTTCCAAACCCATTTGTCATAAATTATTCCCTTTTTCTCCCCCACTTTTCAAAGCCACGTCCTTGGGGAGGGAGCAGGATCCTGCAGATCAAAGCCACCCAGAAGCCCCCAGACTCGCCCAGGATGCCGGCAGGTTTCCTTGCGGTTACTGCATCGGGCGAGAGAGCGTTTGCCAGGGACTCCCCTTGGGGGCTGTGGGGAGGTCTGTGTGTGTCTGTGGTTGTGGGGATGCTCACAGGGACTAGAAGCCTGAGGAGGAGAGGATGCAGAAGGACGGAGCCTGTCCCAAGAGAGGATGCTCAGGCAGGGCAGTCCTGAGTCTTTGGAGACGTCTCAGGTTGTGTCCTGAATGGGGTAACTGTGCCCCTGAAGGACTAGGTGTGCAGCCTGGGAGTCATTTTGGACTCACAGCTGTCCATGGAGGAACAGGTCAATTCTGTGTCCAGGGCAGCTGTCTCCCAGCTCCACCTGGTACGCAGGCTGAGACCCTACCTGCCCGCGGACTGTCTGGCCAGAGTGGTGCATGCTCTAGTTATCTCCCACTTGGACTACTGCAACACGCTCTACGTGGGGCTACCTTTGAAGGTGACCCAGAAACTGCAATTAATCCAGAATATGGCAGCTAGACTGGTGACTGGGAGTGGTCGCCGGGACCACATAACACCGGTCCTGAGAGATCTGCATTGGCTCCCAGTATGTTTCCAAGCACAATTCAAAGTGTTGGTGCTGACCTTTAAAGCCCTAAACGGCCTCGATCCAGTATACCTGAAGGAGCGTCTCCACATCCATCGTTCTGCCCGGACACTGAGGTCCAGCTCTGAGGGTCTTCTGGCGGTTCCCTCATTGTGAGAAGCAAAGCTACAGAGAACAGGGCAGAGGGCCTTTTCGGTGGTGGCACCCTCCCTGTGGAATGCCCTCCCTTCAGATGTGAAGGAAATAAGCAGCTATCCTATCTTTAAAAGACATCTGAAGGCAGCCCTGTTCAGGGAAGTTTTTAATATTTAATGTTGTACTGTTTTTAACATTTGATTGGGAGCCGCCCAAAGTGGCCGGGGAAACTCAGCCAGATGGGCGGGGTATGAATAATAAATGATGATGATGATGATGATGATGATGATGATGATGATGATGGTGTCTGGGCCCCTTGGACTCCTTGCCCCCGAGTCCGGGCCAATTGAGGCCACTTGCAGTGGGCAGCTGGCTGGCTCGCCTCTCCCCTTTGCTTTCTCGTTTCCCCTATATTTACAACTCCCCCTATTTTCGTGACTGTTGTTTATGACGTTGCTTTCCTGCTGCCGTCTTCCCTGGGACCTTCGGATGAAGGGAGCGTCATAAATAAAATTATTTGCTTCTTCCTCCAGCCTTAGGCAGCCAGCAAGGGGCCTCGATACAAAGACAGACCTGCTGGTCTAGCTAGATCTGTATCGCCTGCAGAGACCGGGACACACTTTCCAGGGGTTCGGGCAGGGAGATGCTCTAAGCCAGGCACCCCCAAACTCGGCCCTCTAGATGTTTTGGGACTACAACTCCCATCATCCCTAGCTAGCAGGACCAGTGGTGACTCCTGCTGCTGCCATGCCGCCGAAGCACGATTTCTGTTCTCATCCTGAAGCAAAGTTCTCAACCCGAGGTAATATTTCTGGATTAGCGGAGTTTGTAACCTGAAGTGTCTATAACCTGAGGTACCACTGTATCTGACTTTTAAAAGATATCTGAAGGCAGCCCTGTTTAGGGAAGTTTCTAATGTTTGAAGTTTTATTCTGTTTTTAATGTTCTGTTGAAAGCCGCTCAGACTGGCTGGGGAAACCCAGCCAGAAGGGTGGGGTATAAATAAATTATTATTATTATTATTATTATGTGCCCCACCCTCACCTCATGAGGCTTCGCTCCAGGCCTCCCAACCTGTTCCAGGGGGAGGCAGAATGTGGCTTCATCTTTTGCTAGGGACAAGCATCACGGAGCCTCCAAGCTGGATAACAACAGTGGTTCCCAAAGTGGGTGGGGAAAGGGATTCCCTAGGGGGATGCCAAGAGGTGAGGGGGCACCGGGGGACACGCTGGAGGTGTCTGTCAGCACCAGATGCAGTTCATCTGCTTTGTAGACTTCATTGAAGTGAGTAGTATTAATTGGGGTTTGAACAAAAGTGCAGTTATTTGGTTGCTGATTTGAATTGCCGTACCATCTTCCTTAGTGAGTCCTGCAAACTGCTCTTCTGGATAATGGTTTTTATAAGGAAGGGGGAACTGGGGATGAATATATGGAACGGGGGGGGGGGGGGGGATGGCCCCCAAACATTTGGGAACCTCTGGTTTACAGTGTAACTTTAAACACTGAGAACGTTGGCCTTGTCTTATGAGGCTCTGCCTGTAGCCTACCCTCCAAGTCTCCCAATTTTCCAGGAATTATGAAAGCCCTCCTGGCTTTGGATTTGATCCTGAAATGTCATTTTGGCCACCACCAGCTGGTGCTGCCGCCCCTGATCTCAGGGGGGGAGGCTGAGCCGGCGTTTGTCCTGAGCAGCAGCCGATAAGGAGCATCCCTTGGGCATCTCTTGGCGGCGGCTGGAGAGCAGGCGAGGAGAGGCTGCGGCTGGCCAGGCCCAGCCCCACGTGACCCCCTGGTTGTGGGGGGCAGGCAGAGGGCAGGGCCACCCTGGGCAGGAAGAACGGGGGAGCAGAGCGGAGTGGGAGGAGTCTTGGTTTTTTAAAAAATATATGCATTGTGCGCCTGCATCTAATCTCGCCCCTCTCTAAAATGCATATGTTGGTATGCGTTTTCCTTTTTGTAAATCTACCAAAGAATGCAATAAAATAAAATTGGGATTCAGGGCTTTTCTCAGGAGTAGGGAGGGCACGAGTGCTGCGTCCCGTTGGTGGTGGAAGTGCTCTGTGATGGTGGGGGATACAGGCAAAAGAGGGGGGTGAGGAGGGTCAGTTGGAGGGAAGTGAGAAATGTCCCTATTTTCATTTGAGGAGTGTTGGAGGGTATGCTGGAGGTTCAATGGCTTACGTTCAAAAAGAGAACAAATCCCATGTTATGCAGGGAGCAGGACAGGCCATTTATCTTTGCTCACAGCTCTTGCCGTCTTCCTGACTTCGGTGCTCTGAGTTTGGGGACGCCCCTTTCCATGTCCCCTGGTGCTGCTTCCGAGTCTTCCTTATCCATTGTTTGACTCTCCCTGGCACAGCGAGAAGCGTTTGTTTCTTTCCTTTGTCTTCTTCTTAAATAACATCTGTTGAATTGTTTCTGCGAAGGTTATACCAAATACTGCAAAACATGGCCTAATCATACAGGATCGGCTGACAATTCGCAGAGTCCCCGTGCAACCGCCAGCTGCACGGTTTTATATTGCCGCAAACTGCTCTGCTACGATTTTTACGATGCAGGGGTATATACATGTTTTTAATAACTATGTAAATAAATAGAATGATGGATCGCTGGTGAACAAGGACAGACGAGAAACAAAACCAAAGGAAATAAACCACAGGTGCGTGGATGCGTCAAATGCAGCAACTGGAACTATTTCTGGCATAGATATTGAGGTTAGACCAGACAGGGTTGCAAAACGTGGGCCCTGTGATGGCCAGGGAAAAGAATTGAAAGTATTTGCAGGCCCTGAGTCACTGTACTGGCCTTATTCGCTCGTGGACTGAGGGGGCTTCCAGGTCATGCTCCTCCTTGCTTGCAAATGAAATAAAATCAAGCCAAACAGGTATGAAATTGCTGACCCCGTGTGTGGCAGCCATGGAAAAGGCAAATTCTGTGTTAGGGATAATTAGGAAAGAAAGGGGAAGCAAAACTGGCAGTATCCTAATGCCTTTGCCCAAATCTATGGCGCAACTGCATCTGGAGTCCTGCGTACAGTTCTGGGTGCCTCACGTCAAAAAGGATAATAATAATAATAATAATAATAATAATAATAATAATAATAATAATTTATACCCTGGGCTCAGGATGGCTAGCAACTGAAAAACTGGGCTCAGGGCGGCTAGCAACAAATTTAAAACACTTAATGGTAAAAGCAGCATAAAATAAAGTATAAAAACATGAATAACAATAAAATTTCAAGTTCAGAAATCAATTTAGGGGAAATCCATCTAATAAGCATTAGATAATCCCCAGGGATAGCGGGCTGAATTGGTCCTACTTGGATAAAAATGAAAGGGGTGAGAAAAGGGCCCCCAAAATGATTGAGGGGCTGGAGCAGCTTCTCTGCGAAGAAAGGTGGCCTGATCCAGCAGGTTCTTCTGAGCTTCTCATGTCCCTTTTCCTTAGTTTTCCCAATAGGGCAATATCCTTCAGGGTCTCGGCTGCAATATCAGGTCTTCATTGCGCCCATTTCCTTGCCCTTGTCCAGTACAGATGAGGGAAGGCCTTGCTTCTGCCTTAAGCTCAGCCTTCTCTTCTTTAGCTTCAGACCAAAACCGATTTAAATCGCGATTTAAATCACTAGTCAGTAAGACTTGATTTAAATCATTTTATTTTTTTTACAGAAAGACTCATTCTTGCTGGTATCATCTTAATATTTACAACCAGATGAAGGTTTCGTTTTTGGACTAATAAATTTTCAGAGTAGTTTCTACAGTTCTATCAAAAATTATGAATTTGGTTCTACTATCAGAAATACAAAGACCGATAATTATGAAATTACTGTGAGGTTTAATAAGTGAACTGTTGATATTTGGAGAACTTTTCTGCTGTACTTTATTGGAAGGAGAAAAATAACCATTTCCTTCATAACAATTTAAACCATCTATTTAACTAAAACTATAACATTATAGCATATGTATCCATGTTTGTTAACTGATGTGGTTCAACAATTCTTTTTATTAAGAAACCTTTTAGCACACATGAAACTTAAACAAATCCTTATTTCCTGATGAATAGCCTTTGGACTCCAGTGTAACTTAAATAGAAAATCTTTAGAAAGATTTTCTCTCCAAAAGCATTTTTTTAAAAAAATTCAATTTAATTTTTTTACAAAACTATTTAAATTAAAAATATCAATTTTTTTTAAAAAAATCCTGATTGTTCTCTACCCTGCTCAGCTCTGCTTCCACAGTCAGAGGCAGCCAGGCTTCTGAATCCCAGTTACTGTAAACCTCAGGAGGGGAGAGGGGTCTTGTGTTCGAATCCTGGTTTTGGGCTGCCCACAACAGGCACCTGGCTGTGAGAACAGGGTTCTGGGCAAGATGGGCCAATGGCTTGATTTGTGGTTACCATAATTCCTATCTATTTCATCGCGTTTGTACCTCTTCCTCCCTACATTTCATCCATTTTAAATAAATATAAAAAGGTATAAATCATAAACATTACAAGTCTTCTTAAGTCAATCCTGCTGGTGTTGTTAATTGTCTGCAATCGTCCTTCAAATATTGTATAAATTTACTCCAGTGTTTTGGGAAAGCTTCATCACGCTGGTTTCGGATTTTCAGCTGCGCCAGTTGTGCATATTCCATCACCTTCACCCGCGACTCTTCAATCGTTGCTCATTCCGGTTGGTTCCGTTTGGGGGCTAATAGAGTCCTTGCTGCTGTTGTTGCATGCATAAACTATTCTTGGTATCTTTGGAATTTCTTCCTCTACTATGCCCAGTAAAGATGCTTCTGGTTTTTTTAGCAAATGTACTTTTGTACATTTTCTTTAACTCATTATATATCATTTCCCAGAAGACTTTGACTTTACTGCAAGTCCACCACCTATGATAGAAATTTCCTTCCTTTTCTTTACATTTCCAACATTCCTTATTTTTTATCTTATACATTTTGGCAAGTTTAGTTGGTGTTAAATGCCACCTATATAGATTCAGGTAGGTAGCCGTGTTGGTCTGACGCAGTTGAAATATATCAATTTTTTTAAAAAAATTGTCCAGTAGCACCTTAGAGACCAACTAAGTTTGTTCTTGTTATACGCTTCCGTGTGCATCTGAATGTATCTGAAGAAGTGTGCTTGCACACGAAAGCTTATACTAAGAACAAGCATAGTTGGTCTCTAAGGTGCTCCTGGAATATATATATATATATATATATATATATATATATATGTGCAGTGGTATCTCGGGTTAAGTACTTAATTTGTTCCGGAGGTCTATTCTTAACCTGAAACTGTTCTTAATCTGAAGCACCACTTTAGCTAATGGGGCCTCCTGCTGCTGCCGCGCCGCTGGAGCACGATTTCTGTTCTCATCCTGCAGCAAAGTTCTTAACCTGAAGTACTATTTCTGGGTTAGCGGAGTCTGTAACCTGAAGCGTATGTAACCCGAGGTACCACTGTATATGTATGTATATGTGTATATGTGTATATATATATATCTATCTATCTCGACCACCTATATAGCTCTTCTGGGACGCGGGTGGGGCTGTGGTCTAAACCACAGAGTCTAGGGCTTGCCAATCAGAAGGTCAGTGGTTCGAATCCCCATGACAGGGTGAGCTCCCGTTGCTCAGTCCCAGCTCCTGCCAACCTAGCAGTTCAAAAGCACATCAAGTGCAAGTAGATAAATAGGTACCACTCTGGCGGGAAGTTAAACGGCATTTCCGTGCACTGCTCTGGTTCGCCAGAAGCGGCTTAGTCATGCTGGCTACATGACCTGGAAGCTGTACGCCGGCTCCCTCGGCCTATAGAGTGAGATGAGCGGGCAATCCCAGAGTCGGCCATGACTGGACCTAACGGTCAGGCGTCCCTTTACCTTTATATAGCTCTTCTCAGATTCTGAGGTTGGTCCTCCCAGTCCAACCCAGTGATGCCTTTTTTCTTTCTGTCCTTCCGCAGAATGATTCCCCCCACGAGCAAGACCTTCCTGGTCAACAACCTGGCAGCGGGGACGGTCTACGACCTGTGCGTCCTGGCCATCTACGACGACGGCATCACCTCCCTGACGGCCACCCGTGTGGTGGGCTGCATCCAGTTCACGACGGAGCAGGACTACGTGCGCTGCCACTTCATGCAGTCCCAGTTCCTGGGGGGCACCATGATCATCATCATCGGGGGCATCATTGTGGCCTCCGTGCTGGTCTTCATCATCATCCTCATGATCCGCTACAAGGTGTGCAACAACGGCGGGCACCCCAAGGCCGCCAAGGTCAGCAACGTTTACTCCCAGACCAACGGGGCCCAGCAGGCCCAGCAGCCAGGGTTCGGCGGCGCCGGCGCTGCCCTGCCGCCGTCGGGCTCCAAGCAGGCCATGGGGCGCGAGGAGAGCCTGCAGTGCTGCAAGGTGGGCAGCGAGGGCTCGGCGCGGCCGGCGGACGCCTTTCCCAGCCAGGACTCCTGCTCCGCTTCCGCCGGGGCCGGCGCTACCTCCGCCCTGCCGCCCACATGGACTCCGGGGCCCCCCGCTTCCCAAAAGCTGAAGCGCAAGCCCACGCCAAAGTCCGGCAGCCACGACGCCGTCCCCGGCGAAGGCGCCTCCTGCTCCTCCGCGTCCGGCGGCCTCGAGTCGCAGAACACGAACCGCAACAACTCCACAGCGCTGCAGCTGGCCGCCCGGCCGGCGGACTCTTCCCCGGGGGCGGCCCCCGCCTACAAGAGAGCGCAAGCCAAGCCAAGTAAGTTCCTCACCTTGCCCGCCGACCCGTCCCGCGCCAAGCGCAGGTACTCCCTGAACGGAGAGATCATGGAATACCACTGTTACCTTAACTCCCCGAACCCGGGCGGATTTTGGTCTAAGCGGAGCCTGTCCATGAATGGGATGCTCTTGCAGACAGACTCCTCCGAGGCGGATAGTGGTCAAGCAACTTTCTCCAGTTCGGAGTGGATATTGGAAAGCACGGTGTGAGCTGCTGGGGGTGTGTGGCTTTTCTTTTTTTTATTTTGCCAGTCCTAAAAAAGGACGGAGGGTTCCCCCGCCCTCCAAACACTGTCCAAGAACTCGTCTCCGGGTGGGGGCAGTGGCTGGCTTTTTCCTGCCCCTCTCGCCTCTCCGCCCAGAACAGGGTGTGGACCACCGTGGAGCGCCCCTTCACACCACCTTTTCTCTCTTGGGGTTTCCGTTTAATCTAACAACCGGAGGGAAATATTGGCGAGGAAACAAAGATTTAAGGGGAAAGCACAAAAGTCGAGTGGGGTCTCTGCCTCTGCTAGGATTGGCACCCGGGTCCCACCCTAGCCAATCGAGGACCCAGGAGAGAGAGAAGGAGCCTTGGCCTGGGGGGAAGAAAGAGCCGTTTGTAGAAGGGCCTCGTTGCTCTTTCCTCTGTGCCAACGGAAGGCTGCTTTTCTGATGGATCAGTAGACAAAAACGGGAGAGGGAGCATTTCTAAATCGAGCCGAGTGTCTTTTCTGCCCTCTTTCCCCCGTGACTTTGGTCCTGCCTTCCTTTCTGGGCCAACGCTGTACAAAACCCATCAACTCTGTGTTGCTACGTTGTGTAAAATAAAATATTCCTTCAATACCTTCAGCCGGTGTGGCCGGGCGATGCCCTTGGAATGACCCTCCTTGGTTCAGGGGTGCTGGGGGCGCCGTATCCGGGTGGCCAGTGGGGAGAGGGGGAAGGAGGAGGTCTCTGCCCCTGCCCCCTGGCCAGGCTGCCCAATGGGCGGAGGTCGTCTGCTGTAGGAGGCAGGACAGAGCCGGGCTGGAGGTGTGTGTGGTCAGAGAGCCCGTCCATCTCTCTCTTGGTAGCTGTGAGCAGGAGCCTGGGGTCTCTAGCACCAGAGAAAGTGGGTCAGCGGTGCTGCAGGCCGGCCAGCCTTGCTTTCCGTGGGTCTTGTTGGCGGCAGGGAGATTTCTCCAGGCTGAGTCAGCAGCATTTATATTTGTGCCAATTTCGCTCTTTTGTTCCTTCTATTTGTGCAAGGCTATGAGTCAGCTTTCCAGGCAGAAAAGACGGCCTGTTGCAATGCCATATAACCGATGAAAAGCAGTTATAACACCCCGAAACAGAGCAGCCGTAAGACCTCTGCGATGCTGGCCTGGGAGATCTCTCCAGGCTCCTTCAAATTCCTTCTTGGGGTTCCAAATGGCTTAATCTTGTTTCTGAAGTTGCCCCGGTGCTGGATCGATCCCTTGTTCTCCTGGACGAATCCTAAAAGCTGCTCACTGTTTGGCTGCACGCTTTTCGCCCCAGATTGACGATGGATCCCAGGGAAGGAATTGCATTCGCTCAGTCGCGGTGCAAAGAGGGATCTCAGTGTGATTTCACAATTGCGTTAAGATCCCTTCTTCGTTTCTTCCGTGATAGAATTAATGCATATGAAAAAATGGGCTTGGTTGGCTTGTCCGTTTTGAGAACTTGTGTGGGGAAAAGAAAAAATACAACTGAAACTCAAAGTGTGCCTGTGCCAATTCAGAGATGAATGCCCCCCAACTAATCACCCCACCCTCCCACCCCACCCATGGGTGCTTCCCTTGGCCTTGCCTGGTTTCTGGGTCCTTCCTTTGGGGCCCCAGTGAGCTGCTCCCCTTGCTTGGTGGGGAAGGAAGATGAGCCTCTGTTGCATTTTCTCCCTCCAGAGTCAGCTCCTCTTGCTTGTAAAGCCTCCCCTCCCCCCCAACTCTCTTTTATTTATCTATTGATTTTATAATTTATTTATTTATCCCCATTATATTTATTATTCCCCCTGATATGGACTCAAGGCTCCATGAATGGCATTTTAAAAAGTCACTTCTCTGGCCAAGTCCATCCAAAGCAGCTTGCAATATTATTATTATTATTATTATTATTATTATTATTCCCACATGCAAATTTAAACGACACAGAGGGAATGCAGAAAGCTAAAAATGTCACAAAGACAATAGTTGAAAAGTAATTCTAATAGTAAGTAACTCTCCCGAGGAGACGTTGATCCCGTTTTGCTAGACTAAAGGCTGCCTTACTCTGTGCACAAAGAACGACGTGTGTGAATGTGCGCCATTGTTATTTTTAACAAAATGTGCTTGCAGCTTCCCTGAAAACAAAAGTTCTAGCAGTTTGCAAAGCACATAAAATATGCTTTAGAAGAATGCAAAAGATACCTTAGAATAAAAAAGCAACATTAAAAGCAATTGGGGGTTGGACTAGATGTTCCTTCCCAGGGGCGTAGAAAGGGGGCAGCGGAGAGGGCAGGCTGCCCAGGGTGCCACTCTGGGAGGGGTGACAAGATGGCCCCTGCCTGCCCCCAGCTGTAGAGCGGCAGAGGGCGCACGCAGTCCATATGGGCACTGCTCACATGCTGTCCGTATGGGCTGCCGCTCTCTTGCACCGTCCATATGTGCGTCCATAGGGGTGCTGCTCACGCACAGCGCCCATACAGCCACCACGTGTGAGCGGCAGCCCATACGGACAGCACATGTGCGACATTCCGTACAGAGTGTGCATGTGTGATGCCACACATGCGCAGTCCATATGGGCTGCGCCTCCCTGGGTCCCTTCCAACTCCACAATTCTTAAGTTTGTAGAAAAGCAGAAGGAATAAAATTCACAGTTAAAAGCACACATTCTAAGCTAAATAGGCAGATTTTAAAAAATGCATCAACTTTGCAAAATGCACGTACGTTCTTTAGGTCACCGTTTGCCCTGAGCACATTGTGGGCCATATATTTTGTGGTGCGCTCTCTCCACCCCCCCCCTCAGGTGCCGGAAGTTTCTCCACAGAGATGAGAGCTTCCCTTTGTCTCCCACCTTCTGGGCCATCCTTCTTGGGGCTGGCGGGTTGGAATCAGAAACAATGGTTTGGTGCTGAACTTTCCCAGCAAACCGTGGCCTGTCATTTTCATGCATCACAATAAACTGTGGTTAGTTCAAAGCATGAGGCAGATGCTTCCAAACTCATTTGGGGGACAGGGGACAGGCAGGGACCGACTCAGGGCTGCCTGGCTCCCGTTCTGCTAAGCAATGGTTTGGCGTTACCACCAAACTGGGTTATTCATCATCATCATTTTATTTTTTATACCGCCTTTCCATAGTTAAAACAATGCTCAAGACGGCTTACATCACGACAAGATTCACTGTATTTTTTGCTTTATAAGACGCACTTTTTCCTTTCTAAAAAGTAAGGGGAAATGTGTGTGCGTCTTATGGAGCGAATGCAGGCTGCGCAGCTATCGCTGAAGCCAGGACAGCAAGAAGGATTGCTGCGCAGCAATCCCTCTTGCTGTTCTGGCTTCAGCGATAGCTGCAAAAAGCCTCTTCAACAACATTTGATTCAGAATATTTTCCCCCCTTGTTTTCCTCCTCTAAAAACTAGGTGCGTCTTATGGGGCGAAAAATACGGTACATAATTGCATAACATAACAAAAGTCATAAACAATCAATAAAACACATTAAAAGGTACACAGCCAAATGGAAAACAATTTCCACATAAATCATACAATCTAAAACTAAAGATACAACATTAATTTCAACAACAATTTAAAATGGCATAGATAAAAAATAAAAACAATCTTTAAAAAGGAGCCCTCTCTGCTGAGCAGCAGCAGCAGCAGCAGTCCTTTCTTGTGTCCTAATGCTTGGCTTTTCCTGTTCTTCGCCAGCCTGCCTTCAAGGCCGCTTCCAAGAATGAAATGCAGGGAGGCGATAAATCTGGCGGGAGCCAACATGATAAAAGGGCCGGTGCAGAACTAGGTGCAAACAGCCTGGGAAGGAGAAAACATTTAAGAATCAATAGAAAACCACATATAACAGGACCTGGGTTTTTTTTAGCAGCTATAGCTAAAAAGCTAATTATAGAACGCTTTGGCTTCCAGCTCACCATAGCTGGAAAGACATCTAGTTCTTCATGCAGTGCAAGGATGAACTGCGGAACTCCCTGCCACAGGAGGCAGAGATGGCTTGAAAAGAGGATGAGGCACATTCATGGAAGAGCATCAGGCTGTGTTGATGGCTCCTCGCCCCAGGGGCTGATGCCTTTCCTTCACAGTTGGGAGCAGTGATGCTTCTGAACCCCAGTTGCTGGAAGGGAAGGAGGGAAGAGTTGTGGTGGGGCTTGGATCCTGCTTGCCGGTTTCCCATGGAGGCATCTGGCTGGCCTATGTGAGAACCGGAAGCTGGACCAGATGGAGCACTGGCCTGATCCAGCAGGACTCTTTGAATGTTCTCATCTGTCTCCCCGGGAAGAGAATGCCAGAGTCAGGCCACCATCACTGAAATCTTCTTGTAGCGGCCAACCAAGTGCCAATGGGAAACCCCCCGTGAGTGAATCCCCCATGAGGAAAGGTGACAGCATTTGGGGCTGCTTCATGAGAGGAAAGGAAGCCAGAGGGAGCAGGACAGGAGTTTGTAAAATCATGCTTGGCGCAGGGAAAGGAGATAGAGAGAAGTTCCCTTCTCTCTCTCACAACACTAGAAGAGATACAAGGAGGCTGAAGGTTGGAAGATGCAGGACAGATAAAGTCCTCCATGTGGTGTGGAGTTAGACTGTGGAACTCCCTGCCACAGGAGGCCGTGAGGGCCACCAGCCTGGATGGCTTGAAAAGAGAACTAGACAAAAGGGAATTCTTGGAGGAGGAAAAGGCTCTGGAAGGCCCAGGAAGGGAGAGTTGCTCTGGTGCTCCTGTTCTGCTTGCTGGGTTCCCCTGGGGGCATCTGGCTGGCCCCAGTGAGAACAGGAGGCTGGAGCAGATGGACCACGGGCCTGATCCACAGGAGGCAGAGGTGGCTTCAAAAGACGATGAGGCACATTCATGGAAGATTCAAGCGCAAGACCACTTTCTCCCCTCCTCTGGTTCCCAGCAACTGGCCTCCAGCTGTGAAGACAGAGCAGAGCCACACGTCTCTCAACCATGGAAAGCCCTCTCCTCTCCCAGGAATTTGTCTCATCCTCTTGTAAGGCCATCTAGTTTTCTGGCCATCTCTGCCTCTAGTGGCAGTGAGTTCCACAGTTCAGCCAGTCACTGTGTGTCGAAGCCTTTTCTTTCCTGGGTCTGGAGTCCTCCTGGGGGTGGGGCGTTGTGGAGACCTGGCTCCATCTCTCCTGAGTGGAAGATGCTTAGATGGGCAGGTGGGCGGCAGGGAGGGAGGGAGCTGGTGGAAGTTCTCCCCTTCCAGGTTGGTTCTGCTTTGGTTGAGGAGCTGAGCCAAGCCGGGCGTTATAGATCTCTCTCTCTCTCTCTCTTTCTGTTTCTCTTTCCACCACACAGAAGCTGGCAGCAGCCTGAAGAGTGCTTGCCACCCTCCTCCTCCTCTTCCTCCTCCTGAAAACGTGGCCGCCCACGTTTGCACCCGACAAAAATCCATTCGGTTTCAACTCACCGGAGACTGAGAATAGGGCCAAATTCTGCGCCACCAGCAGGGACGTCACACCCCCGGTGCCTCAGGCCTGCGCTGGGAACCCACGGAGACTGGAGATGCTGGAGGGATGGATGGTCTCCCCTGTCTCCCCCCCCTTTCGCCCCACCCCACCCCCAGGAAACCCTGCCCAGGCATTGCAAGTGTCTTCTTCTGGCCTTCAGGACTTTATTTTTCTTTTGTACAGCAAAGAATTCACAGGGAGAGGGATCTGGGCCCAGCGTGGCCTCCGCTCTTCCTCTTCGTGGTTGCTGGTTGGTGGTGGTTGAATTCACAGACCGTACAACTGATTCTCCATTATGTCACACCACCCCTGGAAATAAATGTTTTAATATGAGCGTTTCCCCACTGGTTCATTGACAGGAGCAGGGAGGGCGGGGGGCGTCTTTGAGACACATCCTGCAACATCTTGGAGCTCCTTCCAGGGGGGCTGGGAGAAGGTCCAGCTCACTCCCCGCTCACCGAGGCTGGAACAGAACTAAGTGTGTCATCTTCTGAATCCAGCTCCTTCCCAGCCGTAAATGAAGCTCTTTCCTTGTTCAGTAAAAGGGTCTGGCAGTGGAGGGCCAGGGGGTCACGAGACTCTTTCCAGTGGGGCAGATTTTGGGAGGGAACACAGTGGGGTGGAAAGTCTGGTGACCATCATGCACATCCCACCTTTTCCTCAGAGGAGCTCAAGGGGACTCTCCCTCCTCCCCATTTCATCCTGACAACAACCTTGTAGGTTAGGATAAGAGGCACCAATTGCCCCCCAAAGTTACAGCCAGTGAGCTCCATGCCTGAGTAGGGAGATTCAACTCTGTTTTCCCAGGTTCTTGTCCAATGCTAAGAATTATTATTATTATTAATTAGTATTATTATTTATTAAATTTGTATTCCACCCTTCACCTGTGGATCTCAGGGTGGTTCACAACATTTAAAATACAAGGTAAAAAGACAACATACATAATAAAACAAGAACCAAAACTGAAACAGAACAATAGCCCTCACCCTTCTACAAACACATTTAAAAGGACATAGGATGTCAATCAGCCAAAGGCCTCGTGAAAGAGGAACATTTTCACCTAATGGTGCCTAAAGGTGTACAATGAAGGTGCCAGGCAATCCTCCCTGGGGAGAGCATCCCACAAATGGGGAGCCACTGCAGAGAAGGCCCCGTTCTCGTGTTGCCACCCTCCAGACCTCTTGCAGAGGAGGCACACGAAGAAGGACCTCAGAAGATGATCTCAGGGTCTGGGTAGGTTCATAGAATCATAGAGTTGGAAGAGACCACAAGGGCCATCGAGTCCAACCCCCTGCCAAGCAGGAAACACCATCAGAGCACTCCTGACATATGGTTGTCAAGCCTCTGCTTAAAGACCTCCAAAGAAGGAGACTCCACCACACTCCTTGGCAGCAAATTCCACTGTCAAACAGCTCTTACTGTCAGGAAGTTCTTCCTAATGTTGAGGTGGAATCTTCTTTCTTGTAGTTTGGATCCATTGCTCCGTGTCCGCTTCTCTGGAGCAGCAGAAAACAACCTTTCTCCCTGCTCTATGTGACATCCTTTTATATATATGAACATGGTTCATATGGGAAGAGGCGGTCCTTGAGGTATTGCGGTCCTGAGGCGTTTAAGGCTTTATAGGTCAAAACCAGCACTTTGAATTTGGCCTGGAAATGAATAAGCAGCCAGTGCAGTTGGGCCAGGATTAGTGTAATAGTCTCAAACTATCTTGCCCGTCTTGCCTGACCACCAAATTCTGCACCAGCTGAAGCTTCCAAACCGTATTCAGAGGCAGCCCCACATATCATGCATTGCAGCAATCTAACCCAGAGGTTACCAGAGCATAGACAACAGAAGTTAGGCTGTCCCTGTCCAGATAGGGGCACAGCTAGGCCACCAGCCAAAGGTGATGGAAGGTACTCCGTGCCATCGAGGCCACCTGAGCCTCAAGTGACAGCAAGGGATTCAGAAGGAACCCCGAGTTACGCTCCTGCTCCTTCAGAGGAAGTGTAATCCCATGTAAAGCAGGCACCCCCCCCCATCACTCCAGTCTAAGGGAACCGGCCACTAAGAGTGCCTCTGTTTTATCCAGATTGAGCCTCAGTTTGTTGGCTCTAATCCAGTCTCTTACTGAGCTACAACAGTCCAGCACATCCGCTGCCCCACACTGGCTCTCTGGAATGGCACAGAGAGAGTTGCAGGCAGGCAGCCCAGTGGGCAAGGAGGACATCAGGATGCCGGACTCCATGCTGGAGTGTGACCAATGAGCCTTTTGTTTTGGCATGTGCAGTCCAGCAATCTGCCTCGTGAATCGGACGGGGCCCGTCTTTGGCACTGCCTGGGGGTGGCCTCCTGCTGGGAAGTTGCCAGCGTTTTTTGGGGGGTGGGCCTGCCTTCCTAGATGCCGGGTCACAGAGAGAGGACGGCGTTGGAGACGAATCTTCTGGGTTTCTGCCAAGCATGTGCAGGGGCGCAAAAGGTGTGTTTGCGCTTGGCAAAGAGAAAGAGGGTGTGCCTTGCACCCTCCCCAATGGATTGGGGCCACTTGCTTCATCCTGCCCAAATAGGAGGTGCCTTTGAGGATCCGGCTAAAGGCAGGCAGGCCTCTCTCTGAGTCCTTTGGGGCACCTTGTGGACCTCTCAGAAGCGATGGCTACCAGGGAAGGAACCCCAAGGCCAGGGGCAAGAGGACAGAGAGACGTTCTTCTCCCTCTCTCCTAACACTGGAACACTCATGGGCAGCCAGTGAAGCTGAACAGTGGAAGATCCAGGACAGAGAAAAGAAAGAGCTTCACGCATTGCATAGTCCAGCTCTGGAGCTCACTCCCGCTGGGGGGAACTAGCTTGAATGGCTATAAAGGAAGATTAGGCAAATTCTAGGAGCAGAGGTCATTCATGGCTGCTGGCCAAGATAGCTATGGTCTGCCTTTCTCAATGGGAAACAAGTAGAATAAGGAAAATTAAAGGCATGCCTTAATTATGCATTCTCAATGTATTTTTAATTTTAATTTTCCTTATTCTATTCTACTTGTTAATTCAGTGCAATTCTATTACAGCTGATTTTGACAGCTTGATGACTAAGATCTTTGGCGACGAAAAGTCAGATAACTGGAATGACGTCCGAGCACTGAACCGCTGGAATATCACAAGCGGGCTCTTTATTACTGCGTTTGCAATTGTTCAAGATAAAATCTATTTTGGAAAGAGAAGAAATGAGCACTGAACCACTGACATATTACAAGTGATCTCTTTATTTACTGCGTTTGCAATGGTTTAAGATAAAACCTATTTGGGAAAGAAACTACTTTTGCCATTTTTATGGACATTTATTGTTTGTTTACAGATAGTTGCCTTGGGGATATTACCTTGTGTCGATTGCAGTCGTCCTTGTAACACCACCTTCTCAATGGGAGGCAGCAAAGCTTCTTCTGAATCCCAGTGGCTGGAACCCACCAGAGGGAAGGGCTGCTCTTGTGCTTGGATCCTGCTTGCTGGTTCCCCACAGGGTTGGTCTTTCCAGAGTAGCCTTCGTAACATCCTTTGAAGAAGGTCCCAAGAAGAGCAGCTTTCCCTTTTGCCCTTGAGCGAGAGAACAGTTAATATTATTTATGATAAAATTTTAAGTTCTATACCACTTTTCTCCAAAGATCATAGGGCAGCTTACAACATGAAAGCACAATAATGTAACATAATAACAAACACAACAATGAGCCTTCTTGCTCAGTTTTGAAGACCATAGACTGTTTAATTGGCCAAACCATCTTGTCCGGGAGAGGAACTTGGACGCCAAATTCTGCAACGGCTGAAGTTTCTGAACTGTCTTCAAAGGCAGCCCTGTGTATAATGTGTTGCAGTAATCTAACCTGGATGTTATCAGAGCATAGATGACAGAAGTTAGGCTATCCCTGTTAAAACTGATGGAAGACCCTCACCGGCACTGAGGCCAGTTGAGCCTCAAGCAACAGCAAAGGATCCAGGAAGACCCCCAAGCTATGTAGCCACTCTTTCAGAGGGAGTGTAGCCCCACCCAGAGCAGGCCACCTCCCAGCCATCTGCTCTAGGGAACCACCTTCTAGCAGTGCCTCCATCTTATCTGGACTGAGCCTCAGTTTGTTGGCTCTCCTCCATTAGTGAGCCAAGGCAGCATTATCCCTCCCAACCTTAATTAAAAGTGATGCCCTGCTTGAAATCTCAGAGGAGTTACAAGCTCCTGCTACATTTGAGAGCTCTTTTAATGTGCAAAGAAAATGTTCTTCACCTATAATCATAGAATCGAAGGGTTGCAAGGGATCCTAAGGGTCATCTAGTCCAACTTCCTGCAATGCATGAACCAAAGCGAATGAATCCAACCTCTGCTTAAAAACCCTCTGATGAAGGAGAGTCCACCAGCTTCAGAGGGAGTCTGTTCTGCTGTCAGACAGCTCTTGCCAACAGAAAATTATTCCCAATGTTTAGTTGGAACCTCTTGAAACTTGAAGCCATTGGTTGGAATCCTCCCCTCCAGAGCAGGAGAAAACAAGCTTGCTCCATCTTCCATGGGACAGCCCTTGAGATATTTGAAGATGGCTCTCATTTCTCCTCTTTTCCATGTTAAACATAGCCAGCTCCTTCAACCATTCTTCATAAGGCTTAGTTTCCAGACCCTGGATCATCTTGGTCACCCTCCTCTGCAAACCTTCCAGCTTGTCAACATCCTTCTTAAATTGTGGTGCCTGGAATTGGACACAGTATTCCAAGTGTGGTCTGACCAAGGGAGAATACAGTGGAACCAAATACTTTCCTTGATCTGTTGCCTGTTGACAGCTTCTAGGAGCTACAGGGGAGAACTTGCTTGCTCCATCTTGCACCTGACAGCCCTTGAGATATTTGAAGATGGCTCTCATTTCTCCTCTCAGTCTCCTCTTTTCCAAGCTAAACATACCCAACTCCCTCAACTGTTCTGAATCTTCCTGCATCACCTTGGCTGCCTAACCCAACAGCCCTGCGAGGAAGGACACGCAATCCCATTTTCCTGACTGCCTCTCCATCCCAGCCCCCCTCCCCATCATGGCCTGGGAGAGGGACAGTGTGCTGGTCCCGAGGGTTAACCGTGCGGCAAGATCTGAGTCCAGTCCAAGGTCGAGGGTGCGGTATGGAGGCTGTCTGTCAAAGCTGAAGCGGGGTCTAAGGCAGGGAGTTGGGTGAGGTCAGGAACTCTGGCAGAAGAGCAGGACAGGGTGCAGGCAGGAACAGGCTACCAACAACGTTGCTCCCGCAACTTGGGACTGGGGCTGGCTGGTTTTTATCTGCCCCGAGGCATAGGGCGGCCCCGATCCTCTGGTGACTCGCCTCTCCGGGCCAGCAGGCGAGCACTCCTCCTGCGGGAACTTAGTTCCCTCCGCCTCTCTGCCCTGAGCCTCTGCAGCTCAGGAGAGGCTGGAGGGTGACCGGACCCACAGGCAACCTCTGCTTCCCCTGATGGGGCTGAGAGTGGAGCACCTGCAGGCAATGGGTCCTCCATCACCTCAGGATCCAGAGCAGACACAGCTGGTGCCTGCACCTGAGGACCCAGCACAGGTGAGGACCCTTCAGGCTCAAGCTCCAGCCCTGGCTCAGCTGGTTCTGGAGGCGGGGAATCCTGTGCAGGCTGGGATTCCTCAGGTTCAGCATCCGAGTCCGAATCCCAGGCCATCACAGACAGCTTGCAATGGGGGGAGGCGTTTCCTGGGTTCCTGCTGGCCTGTCAGCACCAGGTGTGCACAGGCTCTCTCCTGAGACTTCCCTTGACCCCAATGATGGGTGTGCCCCTCCTGCCCCCTAAGAGTGATTTGGTTGGACCTCAAACCATGAGGGAAAATGAAAGAGCCTTTCCCCTCACAGGAGCCAGCCAAGAGCCAGCCTTGCCTCTGGAGATGCTCCTTTCCTGCCCAGCTGCTTCTCCTGAACACCTTGGCAGCCAGACAGAGCTCTTTCTGCCCTGCAGACGTCTCCTTGCCAAACCGGGCTTCCCCAGAGCCTGGATCAGGCCATATGCTCCCACTTGCACCCTGGCAGCCTTGGAGAGATTGCAGAGAGACATTTCAAGCCAGAAAGCTCCCCAGGAAGATTTGCAAGCAGCAGGGCTTCCATTTATTTCATGTTATTTTTGCAGAGAAGCTGCTCTGCCCCGATGCTTCGATGGTGGGGCAGGCTTGCCCTGAGCCAGAGCTGGCCCTACGGCGAGGCAGAGGGAGGCGGTTCTTTAATCCTGTGAAATCTGGTGCCTTTTTCTCAATCTCAGCCTGCAGAAGAGGAGGTAGAGAAACGATAAACACCTCCAAATATCTGAAGGACTGTCACCTGGAAGATGGAGCAAGCTTGGTTTTCATTGCTCCAAAGGTGAGGACCCAGATCAAGGATTCCTACATTGCAGGGGGTGGAGAAGACGACCCTTTGGGCCCCTGCTAACTCTGTGATCGTATGATGATTCAATGGATCCAAATTCCAGGGAAGGAGATTCCAACTGAACATCAGGAAGAACTTTCTGACATCAAGAGATGATCAGCAGTGGAACCAACTCCATCAGAAGGTGGTGGACTCTCCTTCCTAGCAGGTTTTTAAGCAGAGGTTGGATGGCCATCACTCAGGAATTCTTTAGCCCCGAGTCCTGCATTGCAGGGGCTGGACTAGATGACCCTGAGGGTGCCTTGCAGCTCTATCATTCTATGCGTCTATGGTAGGGCTGCCATGTTTCAAAAAGGAAAAGCCAGGACATCCCAGAATTCTTGAGCTTTTTAATAGGACCCCCCCAAAAAAGTTGTTGAACTTTTATTTACGAAAACACCTCCCCAAAAACCATGCAATGATTTGATTGACTTGCCTAATATCCAGGACAAATCCCTCCCCCCAGATGTCAATTCCGCCTTTGAAATCCTGATGATATCCAGGAAAATCCGGACGTATGGCAGCCCTATTCTGTGACTCCTTGGGGAGCAGAGAGAGAGAGAGAGAGAGAGAGAGAGAGAGAGAGAGAGGTGTTTCCAAGAAAGAGGTTCCTGCAGGGACAGGACCTGGTTTGCAAGCACCAGGGGCGTTTCTTTTGCAGAGAAGCTGCTCTGCCCCTCTGCTTCCTGATGTGGGCTTGTGGGGGGGGGGCTTGCCCTGAGCCAGAGCCGGCCCCACCATGGGGTAGAGGGAGGCAGCCACCTCAGCCATCTGTTCAAGAGTGTCCAGAAAGGGCAGCAAACAGTTATTCAGTTTATTAATGTTGGTTCATCCCCCCCCCCGCATCCCCCCCTCTCCCGCCTCCTGGTGCCTATGCATTAGGGAGGCTTAAAATAATTCTAAAACTGCACTACAATAAGGAATATATTTAAATGCAAAGAATGCAAACGAGAACAATGCACAAGACGCACAGCATTGGAAAACAGCAACAGCAACAATGAATGGAATAAGACTGGTCTTTTCTGTATTGCTGGGGGTGGGGAAGGCACTTTGGGGGTTTTCCAGCTCGGATGCCCAAATAACTTGGCTGGCCTTGAGGGATCCCCTGTGGGCACCTTGACTGGGGCAGGGGAGGGGCGGCCCTGTTGGGGGCTGGGCATTTATATCCCACCTTTTTCTCCCAGAAGCTCAGAGTGGCACCTGTGGTTCTCCCCTTATCCCGTTCCATCTTCACAACAACCCTGTGAGGTAGGGTTGGGCTGAGAAGAGGTGGTGACTGACCCAAAATGTCAACTGGTGAGCTTTGTGGCCAATTGGGGACCTGAAGCTTCACATGGCCAGGATTTCTTCAGCCTTGGAGTCCTATGTCCACTTCTGGACAGCACAATTTAAGGATATGGACAAGCAGGAAGGTGTGGTGAGGTGAGGGGGGTGACCGAGATGATCAAGGGTCTGGAAACCAAGCCATGAGGAATGGTTGCAGGAGTTAGGTATGTTTAGCCTGGAAAAGAGAATCATAGAACCATGGAATTGTAGAGTTGGAAGGGAACCCAATGGTCATCTGGTCCAACGCTGTGCAATGACTGAGAGGGGGCATATAGCCATTTTCAAATATCAACAGGGCTGTCACATGGAAGAGGGAACAAGCTTGTTGTCTGGTGCTCTGCAGGGCAGGACCCGAACCAATGGATTCAAGTGACAAGAAATGAGTTTCCAGCTCAACCTTTGGAAGAACTTTCTGATGGTGAGGTGTTGGACAGCGGAATGGACTTCCTCAGAAGGTGATGGACTCTTCTTCATGGGATGTTTTTCAACAGAGGTTGGGTGACCATCTCTCCATGATTCTCTAGCTGTGATTCCTGCACTTCGGGAGTTGGACTAGATGGCACTTGGGGTCTCTTCCAACTCAACAATTTGATGATTCTACCCTAGGTTGCAGCAATACCTTTCCACCACAGGACCCTCTTTCCATGGATGTCTATGAAGGCCATCCCAGTGCTGTAGCAAAATCTGAGATAGCTCAGTGGGTAGAGCATGAGACTCTTAATCTCAAGGTTTGTGGGTTTGAGCCCTACGTTGCAGGGGGGAAAGATTCCTGCATTGCGGGGGGTTGGACTAGAAGACCCTCGTGGTCCCTTCTAACACTACAATTCTATGATTCTACCTCTGCTTTGAAACAGTCCTGGGAACATAAAAGTCAGGAGCTATCCTCCCTCCGCCCCCAGTAACCCATCTGTGTGCAGTGGGGACTCCAGTGCTGTGGATCTGAAAGGGCAGCCTGGAAGTTGGGCCTGGAGTGTCTGTGGGGCTGGCTGATCTCTCCACGCTCTGAAAGGATGTAATGACAAGTGAAGCACAAGAACAAGACAAGATGGTTTCAGGCAAATTCACAAGTTTAATTAAACGTGTTATCAACCAGCTTTCTGCCCTTGGAAGAGGTTTAGCAAGGAATGGGGGGGGGCGGGAGGAGAGGGATGTGTCTCCGCAGAGGATGATGTCACCCGCTGTTGGTAAATATTCAAGATCTGTGTTGTGAAGGCAGCTGGAACTTCTCCACACCTCGGTGGGAGAAGCTGAGCAGGCAGGCTGCCAATCATACCAGTAAGCGTCACAAGGAAGCTGGTGGCCTCAGATGGCGCTTGGTGATCTGCAGAGCTGTGGGGTGTGTGTGTGTGTGTGTGTGTCAACTGGGAGGTCATGGGGTTAAGAGCAACACACCCAGTGGGGTGGGGAGAGCAATGCTTCTCATCTTGCATTTCTGCCAGAAGTGTTTTCTGGATTCCAGGTTGACCTCTTTCCTCATGTGTCTCTGAAGAACACAAATACCTCTCTAGAAATAGAAAAGAGCATCTCCGGGGCAAGAACCACCCAGGAGCTTTGGGAATCTACTGTGTCCATTTCTGGTGGCCTCACCTCATAAAGAAGAATGTGGAGTTGAAGAAGGTTTAGGAAAGGGCCACCAAAATGACCAAGGGGGTGGAGAGACTCGCCTCTGAAGAAAGGCTGCAGTGTTTGAGACTTTTCAGTTTAGAGAAAAGGAGACTAAGAGGAGGAAAAGGAGACTAAAAATTTCATCTTTGAAATTTATAGAATTATGAGTGGCCTGGAGAAAGTGGGCAGCAGGAAGATTTCCTCCCTCTTTCATAAGACTTTCTGAATGTCGTAAGATGATGGGCAGATATCTAGAGAGAGCTATCGGTGGCTGCTGGTCACCATGGCTCTGCTCTGGCTGCTCTTGTGTTTGGGTCCTGCTTTTGGACTTCCCACTGGGACATCTGGTTGGCCTCTGTGAGAAAAGGATGCTGGCCTGATCCAGCAGGCGCTTCCTGTGTTCTTAAGAGCATCTTTTCCAAGAGGCCTGGAGACTCTCCCAGGCTTGAGGGCTCAGGAACCCAGGGAAGTGCCTGGTGCCCAGTTAGACCACTGTTGGTCCATGAAGAGGTTGAAGCTGGGACCTCCTGCATGCCAAGCAGAAGCTCTGCCTGGCAAACCACACAGCCAGAAGGAGGCTGCCGTGAAGCCCTGAATATCCCCAGCCATTCACAACTGCAAAGTCATCCCTGCTCACGGAGTGTGTGCAGAAAAGCAGGCTCGGTCCCTGCCAAATTGCAGCTACTGCTATTTGCATTTCATTATCTCTGGAACTATAAATACCCCCAACGTTATTTTCACAGCACTCGCGTGTGGTATTTGAACATTTTGCCAGTTAGCAGGAGAACGGGTGGCAGAAGGGATACTGGGCTCTGTGTTGCTCACTTCTGCACACATACACAGCACATTTGATATGAGAGACGGGAGTAAAGTGTGTGTGTGTGTGTGTGTGTGTGTGTGTGTGTGTGTGTGTTGCCCTTGCATGTCTGAAGGGACCAGACACACACACAGAGGCAGCTGCTGGGGTGTGACTCTGTGAACCTAGGAGAATGAGCTCCCCAAATACTGATCAGTGATCACTGTTGCCAGCCAGTCTCACTGTGGGAAACCTGCAAGCAGGATTCGAGTGGGAGTCTCCTCTCCACCCATGTGGCTTCCAGCAGCTGGTTCTGCTGGTTTTCCACTGGGGCATCTAGCTGGCCACTGTGAGGACAGAACTGGCTTTAGAAGAATGCAGTGCAAGTTCCCTGGCATCCAAGGAAGTAGGGCTGGCATTGTGAGTGCAGCTCAAGGCATGGGAGAAGAGGGATCCTGCCCACCCCAGGATGTGGCCTTGCCCCCTTCAGTGGGAGCTGCCCCCTTTGCCCCGATCCCCTCATCCAGATCCAGTTTGGAGACATGTCTGAGGAGGGAGAGAGAGAGTGTCGCTGCTGCTTACTATGCAGAAGTGCTTCCAGATTCTCTCCTTCCTGATACGGCAGAGAGAGCAGAGGGAGAACTTGCCACCTTCATCCAGACGGTGGGATGTGACCGGGCAGGAAGGGCAGGTTGGTTTCATGTCGGGGAGGAGAGGAGGCCCTTCTTCCAGGTGACCTTCAGAAGGACCTGGAGATTGCATGACACTTAGTGGAGGGAAATTCCTTAGGCAGCTGCAGATGCTTTGGACAATGGACAAATTAATGGAGGAGGGGCCTATAGACGGGGCAGCAATGCTTCCGAACCCCAGTGGCTGGAAACCACAAGAGGGAAGAGGGCTCTTGGGCTCAAATCCTGCTTGAGGGTTCCCCATATGGGCATCTGGTTGGCCTCTGTGAGTACAGGATCCTGGACTAGATGGGCCACTGGCCTGATCCTGATTCTGATGTTCTTATGTTCATCCTCTCCTCTATCCAGGCATCCTGAGGGGTGTCAGGAGCCTGAGAGCCACAGGGGGAGGACTCAGGAGACCTCTATACTCAGCTTTTGAAAATGAAAGCACACATCTTTTGCCTGCAGCTGAGCAGTGGGGAGGCTGTGTTCTGATGCCCCACCCACACTGCCTTGGGGGGCAATTCCCAGGGCTGGAGATTCCCTGGACGACCCTTTCATCTGCAGTGGATGTCTTCCTCCCAGGAGTAAGTGGTGTCTCCTGCTCACACTTAGGAAGGTTTCTGTAGGGAACCAATAAGCAGGTTTCCCCTCCTGCGGTTTCCAGCCACCAGTGTTCAGAAGCAAAGATTTGTCTCCCTTCCCTCGAGTGAGATGCACACACAGGATTGATTCTTCTGTGTGTCATAACAGGCAGCGCTAGAGTTTTAAATGAAACCTTTGCCAGGGCAACCAAGAGGTGAATGAGAGGGGGGAAATCAACTGGGTTCCCTACCGAAAACCCGGCTCTCTCTTTCACCGCCTGGCCCCCGCAGAGCTTGTTAACATTTCCTAGCAAATTCTCCTTCCCTTAATAGCCTCTTTCCATGGCAAAACCCAAACACCTCCTGCCCCTCTTGCCGTCCTTCAACTCTGCACATAATTGCATCCTTGCCCTGCTAAATGTTTCCTTCCTGCTTAATCTTTCCACTCGCTCGGTTCCCTTCATTACAGAGCATCTGAATTAAGAGTCCTTAATGGCCTCTTGTGGGGACCATTATTGAAGGTCTTGTGAACCTTCTAAAATGTGTTTCTGGCACCCCTGCGTGGGCTCCCTGGGATCCTTCTCCCAGTCAGAGGTGTGGACCAGGTTTCTCCTGGGTGGGGGGAGGAGGCCCTGGGAGGGGCCAGGAGATTTGGCAGGAGGTCAGACAAGAACACTCAGCTTCGCTTTTTCATCTCCCAACACTGGATTGTTGAAAGGCGAACTAAAACTGGAGACAGTTTTCACTAACAGAGCTGAAAAGGTCTTTTTGCACATCGTTGCACCCTTTGCAGAAATGTGGACAGGTGACCTCACTGAAGTGCCCTCCCTTGCTCACAGTGAATGGCTGAAAAGCAAGAAGAATGCCTGTGGGAAATCTTCAGGCAGGATTTGAGCACAAGAGCAGCTCTCCCCTCCTGTGGCTTCCAGCAACTGGGGTTCAGAAGCATTGCCCTGTGGAGGCAGAGCATAGTCGTCGTAATGAGTAGCCACTGAGTTCTCTTTTAAAGCCATTGAGGGAGGGAGTTTCATAGTTTAACTATGCACCGTGTGAAGGACTTTCACTTTGTGCAGGGTCTTCCTGCACCTTGATGTCTGCTTCTTCCCATTCCACGGGCATCAGACACCCATTTCCTGAGGGTGGTGCTTGTGGGATGTGATACATAAGTAGCAGTCAAGTACAACATTCCTTGTTTTCCTAGAGTGGGCATGCGGGGGAATGTTTGGTCCAGCCAGTCGCAAAATTCTTGTTTCCTTCTGGCTGGGACATACTAGAGGTGGGCGTGACCTTACCTGTCCAGGTAACAAAAGGACAAGGCACGCTGCACACTCTCTCTTTTTGACTTCCTCCATCGTTTGAGCAGCTTTTTAGCTAGAGATGCTCTGTTGGCTTCTAGCCAACAGAGGACACTGGGATTTTCCCCATATGGGATAGCTCCACATGTATATACATTTTAACTAGGTTTGCCTTCAGGGATCCAACCGTGAACAGAATGTGAGTAAACTTCTTCTATATACTTTACACAAGATTGTGGCTTGCTTATTCTTTTAAGAGGGATATAAGGGAACTTACCAGAAACCTAATTGTGAGAGCCTTACACAAGCCTGCAACCAGTTATCCACTGTGTGTTTAAAAGGGGAATGTAAAACTCTGCTAAGTAAAGGGACTAGCTAACGCAAGTTAGGAAGGAAATTAGTAAACAATATATCCTGAGAGGCTCCCTGGCTTCTGCTCATTTAAATAAGAATGGGCATGGGAGGAGCTCGGCCACTCAGCCACTTTGCGTTAGCTCAGTCTCTTGTTGCAATGCACTGCAGAAATGTGTGCAACCGTGACATGAAGCCTGGTAGCATCACCCCTGCCATGTCTCTCTCATATCGGTCTTTACAGCCACAGCAGGCGCTGCAATGCTCCAACATTTTGACTTTACCCCCAAGGGCACACTCCTCCATTGTCTCCTGAGACAGGCAGATGCCAACCAGCCAACTTGCCTTTTCAACCTCTGGATATCATGAGTTGCCAGTTCCAGCATCCAGCACCTCTTACCATCAGACGTTTCTTCTTCCTAATACTTTGTGGGAATCTTCTTTCTTGTCATTTGACTCAACAGAAGTGTACTGTCATCAACAGAGGTATAGGGTCCATCAAGGGAAGTCAAAGTGCCGCTGTATTCTGGCTTGGTCAGACCACATCTGGAATACTGTGTCCAGTTCTGGGCACCACAATTTGAAGATGGAACAAACTTGTTTTTTCCCTAACCTCTGGAGGTTAGGATCTGAACCAATGGATTCAAGCTTCAAGAAAGGAGATTCTGAGCAAGCATCAGGTAGATGTTCCATCTGTCATGGAAGCTTTAGTTAGCTCAGTGGGTAGAGCATGAGACTCTCAAGGTTGTGGGTTTGAGCCCTAGGCTGCAGGGAAAAAAGATTCTTGCATTGCATTTGATACATAGCAAAAATGTATCAAAGATTTAAGAAAAATAGACTGTTAATTGGTGAAAAGAGGGAAAGTAAACTTATATCAAGATTAAGATATATTTTCAGGATAAAAATGTTGAAGAGAGGGAAAGGATTTGCTGAAATGGATAACTGATTTAGAATACAAAAAAGGGAGGTGTGAGGAGGTCAGGGAAACAAGCAAATGAAAGATAAGTTATGGGAAGGTTCGATTTGTGTTTTTTTTCCTTTTTCCTTTTTCCTTTTGTTTTTAATTGTTTTTACCTTTCTGTTTTTTATTGTGATGTGTTGGTTTTGTTATTGTTTAATTTGGTGTTTTTACTTTTGCCTTTTTGTAAACTTTAAACTTTAATAAATACTATTTAAAAAAAAAAGATTCTTGCATTGTGAGGGTTGGACTAGAAGACCCTCAAGGTCCCACGAGAGCCAGTGTGGTGTAGTGGTTAAGAGCAGTGGACTCGTACTCTGGTGAACCGGGTTCACCTCTCTGCTCCACCTGCAACTGCTGGGTGACCTTGGGCTAGTCACACTTCTTGAAGTCTCTCAGCCCCGCTCACCTCCCAGAGTGTTTGTTGTGGGGGAGGAAGGGAAAGGAGAATGTTAGCCGCTTTGAGACTCCTGAAGGGGAGTGATAAAGTGGGATATCAAATCCAAACTCCTCCTCCTCTTCTTCTTCTTCTAATGCTATAGTTCTATGACTCAGTTCGTTTGGGTCCACCCCTCTGGAGCAGTATAAGGAAAGCTGGCTTCATCTTCCATATGGGATCCCTTCAGATATTTGAAGAGGCCTCTCCTATCCCCTCTCAGTCTTCTCTAGGGCTGCCCTATGCCAGAAAGGTGGCACTTTGTCCTGGATCTTGGGCAAGTCAGTTGGGGGAGGGGATGCACTTATTTGGTGGTTTCCTAAAGAAAACAATTCCAACAATTCTGGTGGGAGGAAAAATAGGGGACTTCCTAAAATGCTTAACAACTTTTGGGGTGTCCTGGTTTTTAGTTTTTGAAATATGGCAACGCTCGTCTCCATGCAGACAGGAGGCAGGGAAGGGGGTGCTGCACACAGATGCAAATCCGCCACCCAACCCAGAGTGTCGCTTGAGGCAGCTGCCTCAGAGAGCCTCATGGGAGCCCTGGCCAGGGGTTGCTTGATATGCCACAGCTAATAATAGAGGTTAATTGAAACCAGCCAGAGAAGGAAACCAGCCACAGGGTCTGCGGGGCCATTAGAGAAGGAAGGAAAGAGCCGAGAAGTGAAGGAATAATTGAGGGGAATGGCAGGGAAGCCAAATTGTGGTTTCAGCCATGGAAGAAGAAGACGTTGAAAGGAGACCCACGCTTGGAACGTTATTTTGGGAGAGGGCCTCTCAAGTGGAGGTGACAAAAGGATGACATTTCAGAACTTAGCTGACAAATGAAAAAATAATGAGCCGCTGAGGCCAGATGGCATTCACGTTGCATGAACAGCCAATGGCCAGGGATGAGAATGAGAATGTGGAAGGAAGTCCTTCTCCGTGCATAGCTAAGCTTTGGAACTCACTGCTACGGGAGGCTGTGGTGGCCACCAAGCTGGATGGCTTTAAAAGAGGGTTAGACAAGTTCATGGGGGAAGAGAGGACTGTCGGTGGCTCATAGACATGGCTGGAAGCAGCAGTGCTTCCAAATGCCAGTTGCTGGAAACCACAGGAGGGGAGAGGATTATTGGGATTTCAGCTCCGTTTGTCTGAGCTGATAAGGCTCATCTTCCTCTGAGCCCTCCCAGCAGAGCATTAAAACAACAAAGTCCACAACGGAAGGATGAGATAGGTATGGGCTACATTGCTATACTTTATTACTAAGCTATGCAGAGAGCAAAGAAATATACATCTCCTCTCTATGAGAAGCAGAGAGCAACTGAACAATGGGAAACAAAGAACAAAGGAAACCAGGAAACCAGTAACGTCACATCCCGTCTCCCTTTTCCGTGAGACTCCAACAGTATCTGGACTCTGTGGAATGTAAACAGAGTCCTGTGACTGCAAGCAGCTGCACAGTGAGGAAACAGAAACTAACAAGGACTGCTTATAGAATGATGGAGTAGAGTTGGAAGGGGACCCAATGGTCATCTAGTCCAACCCTCTGCAATGCAAGAATCTCAACTAAAGCATCCATAACAGAAGGCCACCCAACCTCTCCTCTCCAAGGAAGGAGAGTCCACAGCCTCCTGAGGGAATCAGTTCCACTGCCAAACAGCTCTTACTGTCTTCCTTCCTTCCTGATATCCAGTTGGAATCCCCTTTCTTGAAACTTGAAGCCATTGGTTTAGGTCAGGGATAGGCAACCTAAGGCCTGGGGCCTGGATGCGGCCCAATCGCCTTCTCAATCTGGCCTGTGGATGGTCTGGGATTCAGTGTGTTTTTACATGAGTAGAATGTGTGCTTTTATTTAAAATGCATCTCTGGGTTATTTGTGGGGCATAGGAATTCGTTCATTCTCCCCCCCCCCAAATATAGTCTGCCCCCCCACAAGGTCCAAAGGACAGTGGACCGTCCCCCTGCTGAAAAAAGTTGCTGACCCCTGGTTTAGGTCGTCCCCCCCAGAGCAAGAGAAATCAAGCTTGTTCCCTCTTCCATGTGACAGTCCTTTAGATATCTGAAGATGGCTCTTGTGGTTCCTCTGAGCAGGGGCGTTTTGCCCATAGAGGCAAGTGGTGCGGGGTGCCATGGCACCAAGTTCTGGAGGGTGCCAGGGAAGAGGCGGAGGCTGGATGCGGCGCCTCCGGGCATCAGCTCGCCTCCCTTGCCCGCCTCCGCCATGCTGTCCTGTGCCCAGAGCCTCCTCGCAGTCAGAGGAGCTGCCCTCCAGCCACTGCCTGCCCAGAGGGAAATGTGGAGGTGGGGGGCACTGGAGGGATCCTTGCACCACGGCGCCAGATATGCTTAAGAGGGGCCTGCCTCTCAGTCTCTTTTCCAGACTAAACATACCCAGCTCCTTCAGCCATTCCTCATCAGGCTTGGTTTCCAGACCCTGGATCATCTTGGTCGCCCTCCTTTGCACACCTTCCAGCTTGTCCACATCCTTCTTAAATTGTGGTGCCCAGAACTGGACACAGTACTCCAGGTGGGGTCTGACCAAGGCAGAACTGTGACGTTTCTTTTTTCTTTTGGCTGGATCTCAACAGGCAAAGGGTGCAAAGTGTTGGTGCTGCCACACTGAATGGTCGATCCTTTCGAATATGGTACAGCTATTATGTGGCTCTTGTAGCAGTGCTGATTCTGCTGATCAAAGTGGTCACAGTGGGTTCAGGCGAAGTGGTCTCAAGTGTTTATGGGCTTTACATACTAATAAAAGGTAAAGGGACCCCTGACCATTAGGTCCAGTCGTGGCCGACTCTGGGGTTGCAGCGCTCATCTCACTTTATTGGCCAAGGGAGCCGGCGTACAGCTTCCGGGTCATGTGGCCAGCATGACTAAGCCGCTTCTGGTGAACCAGAGCAGTGCACAGAAACCCCGTTTACCTTCCTGCCGGAGCAGTCCCTATTTATCTACTTGCACTTTGAACTGCTAGGTTGGCAGGAGCAGGGACCGAGCAACGGGAGCTCACCCCATCGCGGGGATTCGAACAGCCAACCTTCTGATCGGCAAGTCCTAGGCTCTGTGGTTTAACCCACAACGTCACCTGCGTCCCTAATACTAATAGTGGTGACTCCTTAAGCTGTAACTCCATACTAACTGTGACTCCATACTAATAGTGACTCCTTAAACTGGGCCCTCTAGCAAACCAGCAAGCGGTGCCGATATTTCTCTTTCGGTTCCCCTCCTCCCTCCCAGCACCTCCCTCTCTGCCCCCCCCCCCTTTACACACACAGCAGAGGACGAAGATTGCCAGAGGGAGCAGAAGCAGAGGCTGCAGCATCTGGGTTGCTGGAGGACGCTGGCGGGGGGGGGGGGCACAGTCTAGAGTCCCAGGAAGAGAGGAAAGAGCCTCTGCTCGTTTCCTGCTGGGGTTGCAAGGGTTAACCTGCTGCGTCTGCACATTAACCCTCAGCAGCCCATGGAGGGGGGTAGGGGGCTTTCCTGGGGATTCCCGCAGCAAAGTGCCCGCTTGCCTGTGCCATTTTGGAGGCTGGCATCTGTCTTTGCGGGGGGGGGGGGAGGTGGGCGGGGAAGGGGATGCAAAGCAGAGGCCAACATCTGCTCGCCTTGTAAGCTAAACTGGGGCAGTTCCGGAGGGAGAGCGAATCCACACACACTGAATTGAGGAGGGGGGAAGGGAAGGCAGGCGGAAGGGGGGGGGCGCTGATGCAGAAAAAGGAGCTCCGCACTCTGCTCCTGCAGGGAAGCTGGTGGGGAGTGGAAGAGGCTTTGCTTCGCTGACACTCAGAAGCCGGGAAGATTCGCTCAGGGTCCTCAGACGCCTGCCAGTCATAAGAACATCAGAAGAGTTGATGGATCAGGCTCAACGGCCCATCTAGCGCAGCATCCTGTTCTGACGGTGGACAGGCTTTTGAGAAGCCGAATAGCAGGAGATGAAGACAAGAGGACTCTCTGGTCCTGTGGTCTCCATAAGGACATCCGAAGAGCCCCCTGGACCAGGCCAATCAGTGGCCCATCTCGTCTCCTCCTGTGTTTTCTAGCAACCATGATCCAACAGGCTCTCCTTGTGATGTGATGTTCTTTGTTGTTGTTTAGTCTTTTAGTCGTGTCCGACTTTTCATGACCCCCTGGACCAGAGCACGCCAGGCACTCCTGTCTTCCACTGCCTCCCGCAGTTTGGTCAAACTCATGCTGGTAGCTTCAAGAACACTGTCCCACCATCTCGTCCTCTGTCGTCCCTTCTCCTTGTGCCCTCCATCTTTCCCAACATCAGGGTCTTTTTCAGGGAGTCTTCTCTTCTCATGAGGTGGCCAAAGTCTTGGAGCCTCAGCTTCAGGATCTGTCCTTCCAGTGAGCACTCAGGGCTGATTTCCTTCAGAATGGAGAAGTTGGATCTTCT